TTGTGTGCGTGTATATGTATAATTATATTTTTTATATTAATATATTTTTTTTAATTTAATTTTTATTATTATTATATTTATGTTTTCAATATGTTTTGTCAATATAAAAAAACATGTATTAATTTGTTAGTCTAGTGTTAATATTTTATTAGTATTTATTAATAACAGTTATTAATTTCTATTAATAAAGTTAATTGCCAACTTTATGGATTTAATTAATTTTGCAATTAATTTTTTTTATATCACAATTAATTATGTATAAATATGTAAATTAAATAATTTAATTTATTTTTTTATTAAATTATCAATTTTATTAAATCAATTATTGTATTTTATGTATAATATTTATATKTTRACCCCCCCCTCTCCAACCTGTATAGATAGTCAGCATTATATTTTAATAATAGATAATAACTAATGTGAATAAATAAAATATATTTAAATAACTATATATATAAACACAGGTGTTGCATAATTTTTTTTGTAAACTATATTAAAAAATTAAAAAATTAACAAACATTAGTTAATTAATTTATTAATTGTTGATATTACACACAAAAATTAATTTATATAATATACAAAATAATTTAATTAATTTACTGTTAATTTTTCTAAAAATAAAACATTTGAAAGTAATTAATTAATTAATTTTTATTAAAAACAAAAATATTAATTTAGAAATCTATTTGATTTACCATGGTAATTATTTATTTTTTATATAATAAATTTTAATTCAATTAATTAATCAAATAATAATTATTATTATTTTAATTAGTCATATATATAAATTAATTACTGTATAAATATTAATAATTAAAAAATATATATATATATTTGGTGCATTTAATAATATTTTTTTTTAGATAAAAAAATATAAATAAATTATTTTATAAATACTAATAATTAAATATAAAATAATATATTAAAATTTATTATTAGTAAGCATTGAATCCCAAAATTTAAAAAACACTAGTTGGGGGAATATATTGGGGGGGGAATTTTTTTAAGGGAATTATTAATAATATTGAACTTTTTAGTAAAAGTTTATTATTAGTAATACAAATAATAATTAAATTAAAAAAAAGACACAAATGTTACGCTTGTGGACACTTAGTTTGCAGACCTTTATTATATATATATATAYAYATATATATGTATTAATAATAATAATACTTAATATTTGGTTCCAAATGATTAAAACAATTGATTTATTAATTGGTTTTTATTTCATCGGTTAATACATTAGTATTGTATTTAAAGATATTTTTTTTGAAGACATTGTTTGAAGATATCGTTTGAAGACATCGTTAGAAGACATCGTTAGAAGACATCGTTAGAAGACATTGTTTGAAGACATCGTTAGAAGACATCGTTAGAAGACATCGTTAGAAGACATCGCTAGAAGACATTGTTTGAAGACATCTATTGTAAACAAACAGAGAAATCAAACCTTTTGGTAGTAATGGACACGAAATACGGTTCGCAACATAAACTAATGTTGAAACCGAGAGGACAGTTGACCAGTGGCCGAGTGATGGCCAATTTGGCCAGCAAATACTTTCCCGGTCATCAATTTGACCAGTTGTACGATAATACCGCCGAATCGATGACGACCACCACTATCGATGGCGGCCGCAGAGGTGTTTACTCAGGCAGTCAATCGCCGGTAATCAATATTACCGGTAATAGTAGTAGTAGTAGTTGTAGTCAATTGTCGGCGACCGTCGGCAATCAGTACAGTAATGTACTCAACGGTGGTGTCGGCTCTCAACAACAACTGGACAGTCAGCGATGGTCAGCATCGCAACAGTCATTGTTGTCGTCGTCGTCTCAGATAACGATCAACGACAGCGGCAACTGGTCTACGGGACGGCTGTTGCCAGCCATCAACAGGCGGTCATCATTGTCGCAACAGCCAATGGACACAGCGGTCAACAACAGTCGACTATTGGTCGGCATTAACGACAAATTGGACGCCATTATCGGCCAATTGAAACAACAATCGGATACTAATCGATGCTCGTCGTCGTCGTCGACAATAATGGCCAACAATGACAACAACAACAAATTGGACGGCAAATTGAACGCTATAAGCGAGGACATGGAGTCGGCCAAACAGGACTACCAGCGACTGGACAATGAACTGAAGTCTGTCAAACAGGAAGTCGAAACACTGATCGCCGGCGATGTTGTCGACAAATGTGTTGCCAAATATGTCGGCCAACTGTTGGACGAGTTGGCTGTTCTCAAGCGTCAGCTTCTGGTGGCGTTGGATCAGATTGACTACGAAGAACCAATCGATTGGTTCGATGAGATCCAGTGTTATTAACAGAACTATCATCGATGGTTCAGTCAATTAGCTATCGTCTCGATTGTATTTACATTATAATTGGTTTTATTTTTTTGTGTATTTTATTTATTTTTATTATTATTTTGTTTTTGTTATATTTCATATAATTTCTAATTATAATAATAATAAAACCAAACAACAAAATATAATAACATAATTACAGGTAATTTTAGATTTTTGTTTTTCTATTGTCTGTTTTTTGTATGTCGCTGTCTAGTATTTTTTTTTTGATATTAAATTTACCTATAATTTAATACTATTATTATTATTAGTTCAATATTTTTATCTATGTCTATTTTATGTCTATTTTATTTTTATTTCATATTATATATTGAATATAATGTTTATAATGGTTATACAATATTATAATTTATTATAACCATACGGGTAATTACAATGTATATAATGATATAATACAATTTTTTTATGTTGAAATTACTTATTATCTGATTACTAAATAATTAAACCAGTGATAGATATTTAATATTATTATTATTATTATGAAAAAAATATTGTGGGTGTATTATATTAAATAATAATAATAATATTGAAACATGACATTGAAACAAAATAATAAAAAAATTTTTAATACATTTTTTTATTACAAATGCTTATTATAATTACTATAGTATTTAATATAGTATTAATATAAAAACATAACCAGAATAATCTTGTTATATAAAAATTTATCTAGATAGATTATATTACAGTATATATATATATATATTTATATATATATAAAAAATATTTTATTTATTTGTTTTATTGATTCACACTGTCATTTGAGTGCTAATAACTTGCGTCCCCAAAAATAATCACATTTTCAATACATGTGATACAATACAACATTAAAAATAAAGATAAATAAAAAAAAAATAAATCAATTACCGTATCTATAATATAAAATGTCATCAAATTTTCATGCAATTTATTACAGTATATATATATGTGTTTACTGTATATGTTTTGCATGTTTTATTGTAATAAAAAACACACTTAAGAATAATCTAAATATATATATATATATATAATAGAGTAGAATATTATAGAATATTCTACTAAATGTATATTTATATTATGATATTTATTTATACAGTTTGATTAAAAGTGTGTGTAAATAATATACAATATAATGTAGAAATATTTATAAGATTTAAATTATGTCATTGATATTGTGTTTGATTTTTTGTTTGTAAGTTTACAATTAAATATACGTATTTAATATATTTAAAAAAATTTAACATTTATTTTAATACTACAGTACAATTAACTTGAATAAATTAATTTTGTATTAATTTTTCTTTTTTTTTATCTAAAAAAATAAATAAATCAAATTAATTATCCAAAAAATAAAAGATTATATTCATTCAAAGTTAATAACTATTTAATAAGTTTATTGGTGTATAAGTTTCAAAAAATCAAATTTATAATAATTTTTTTGTTTAAAAAAATCAAAAATAGCTATTTATTTCGTGACATGTTTTTAACTGAACTTAATCATAAACTTTTGTGTCATAAAATATCATATATATATATATATATATTTGATATATTATATATATATATATATTATATATATATGATATTATGATATATATATATATATATATATATGTATATTATAGGAAACGGTAGACAACGCAGGTGCCGGTATCACTATTTATTTTTTTAGCACCGACACACAAACACACACACACACACACACACACACAAGGGTTAGTATCAGTTTTATATTGTAAATGATAAAACAGTAGCTATTTTTTATATCAGATGTTTAGATATATATAAAAAATAAAATAATATGATTTGCCGATACATTAGTCTAATATAACTCATACACACACATAATATTTAGCCCAAATGTACGTATGTTTGTATTGATGTGATGTGATGTCAATGTCTAATGTATTGTAAATATAAATTATTTATAGAAATATATTAATACTTATATTTATGTGTCCATCAAAATACTGTTTTGATAAATAAATCTATTTATTATATTTCTATAAAAAAAATCATATAATGAAAATAAAAAGTATATTATAATTTATATGTAAGTTAAAAGATAAATCATTATATAAATTATATTATATATAAATTTATATATATATATATATAGTTAGATTTAAAATCTATTTTTTTCAAATAAGTATAATTAGTTATCATAATTATATTATTGATGATTATTGAAGTTATAATTTATTTAATTATTTTAAAAGATTAATATTAATTGTATTATAACTGTATAATTGTAATTGATATTTTATATTATGTATAACATAAATATATATATAAATTAATATTTATTATTAATATTATAACTATTTAATCATAATTCAATTGAAAATATACTCTATAAATATATATATAATATTTTATTTTACATGTTATATAATGTTAATATTGTAATATCTTATCAGATTATATTTAACATTTGATAAAAGTTATAAATAATTTATAGATACGACAATAGGATTATTATTATTACTGTAAAAATTATTATTATTAATACTTAATGATATATATAACTGTATTTATCTATTTAATTGCCTTAAAGTATAGTATTTAAAAAAAAAAATCTCAATAAATGAAATCCAATGAAAGTCGACAAACATATCATCAACAATATTACTACAGTAGTGTCGCTAACATGACTTTCCTAACATCAAACATGGATAGTAGTATTGGTGTCGACAACGGTAGCGGCAGTGGCGGCGGCGGACTCGAGGCCAACCATTATGTCATAATGTTGACATTTTCCTGTTGCTGTCTATCGGCACTGTTGGCCGTATTTGGCAACACAATGATCATCTGGCTAATAGCTACCACCAAATCGATGCGTACACCGACCAACCTGTTCATCGCCAATCTGGCCCTATCGGACATACTGATCGGCGCACTGGTCATACCGTTTCAGTTTCAGACAAATCTACTGAAACGTTGGGTATTACCCTATTTTATGTGCTATACCTGTCCGACCATTCAGGTGATAACTGTGTGCAATTCGGTGTTCACGTTGACCGCCTTAGCCCTGGAACGGTATCGGGCAGTCATGTATCCATTGCTGGCACACGTATCCAAGTTTAACGCCAAAATCGAGATACTGGTCATCTGGGTGTTGGCTATTGGACTGTCGGTGCCGACCATTATAGCGCTTAAAGTAAGTAACTATGAAGTAAGATATCATTTAAATTTTTTTATTATATATATATATTTATTTATAAAATATTACAATTAAGTTATAGTTGAATAAATGTTTTATTAGAAATATTTTATTTAATTAGGAAAAAAACTAAAAATAAATTTTTAATTTAATTGTAATTATTTAATAAAAATTTGTTAGTTTTCAAATATTTATTATTATTATTTTTTGTTAAATACCGGTATTTTGTTTACAACAATTTTAATACAAATATAAACTATTTATAAATCATTGATTATAAATCTAATACTGTATCTAATATATATTATTTTTTTTAAATAAAGTAATTATATATTAAAATTGAAAAATTTGTTTTCGTGAGGAATTTAATATAAATTAAATTAATTTTTTTTTAAAAATGATATTTAATACATTAGTAACTATACGATTAAATTTTTTTAAAAAATCTTTCAATCTATCAATTATATTAGTACTATACTGTAGATTATAGATACAAATACACTTTATATAAGTCTATTAATATATATATATATATATGTTTAGTCAATAATTGCGTCAATCAGTTATTTATAATTTCAACAACAAAATAATAATAATATTTTTTGTAGCATAAAAATTGAGTTGAATTTGTCAAAACTAAAAATCTTTAAATTAAGTTATACCATATAAATGTATTTTTTATTTGAATTTTTTTTTGTTTTGTTTATCGATTATATTATCAATAATATTTATAGAATATATATATATATAGAAATATTTTGCTAAATTATTAAAATGTTTTAAAAAATAAATAAATATAACTAAAAATACTTGAATGTTAGACATACATATTGTATTGTATTGTTATTTTTTTAGAAAAATATTATGATATTAAAATATTATTTTTATGTGTCCATTGTTATCCCATAAATTTTTATTTATATATAGTTTTATATATATATATAAAACTTAAATTAGCAAAATATTTCTTATAAAACTCAATATTATTGAATATTCGAAATTATTAGTATATTTTGTTTTTATAATTTAGTTAAAAATACTGTATATTTCAAAATTATTTTTATTTATTTATTATTATTATTATTTAAATCTGTATATATAATTAAATATCTAATATATCAGTTAATTTGAAAATTATATTGAAATTATTTTAAGCTAATTCTAGTTTATTGGTAAATCCTATTTAATTATATTACCGGTATGTGTATGTGTATGTGTATGTGTATGTGTATGTGTATGTGTATGTGTATGTGTATGTGTATGTGTATGTGTATGTGTATGTGTATGTGTATGTGTATGTGTATGTGTATGTGTATGTGTATGTGTATGTGTATGTGTATGTGTATGTGTATGTGTATGTGTATGTGTATGTGTATGTGTATGTGTATGTGTATGTGTATGTGTATGTGTATGTGTATGTGTATGTGTATGTGTATGTGTATGTGTATGTGTATGTGTATGTGTATGTGTATGTGTATGTGTATGTGTATGTGTATGTGTATGTGTATGTGTATGTGTATGTGTATGTGTATGTGTATGTGTATGTGTATGTGTATGTGTATGTGTATGTGTATGTGTATGTGTATGTGTATGTGTGTTTGAGTGTGACTAATATTTTATATGATTTTGTGCTAAAATTAGTTCAAATAAAATTTAAGCAAATAATTACATTTATACTATGCATTGATATATTGTGAAATCATTAATTTAGTATAGTTAATGTGTTTTTTATTTATATTTATTTATTCCCGGAAAAAATTGTTGCTGATAAATAAATATATTATTATATAGGTTTTTAAATTGAGTACAGTATATCTTTATTGAATAATCTAGAAAAATTATAGGATTTAATTTAAAGTAAACTAATAAAAAAAAATCGCCTAATATTAAATTTTAAAAATCTAAATGAAAACTAACTATTAGTTATAGACTATAACTTATAGTATATAAGAAAAAAATAATTTTTTAGATATAAGAAAAATATTAAAACATCAATCTATTAGCTATCTTATTATTAATATTTAATACAGTATTAAAAATTCAAATATATATATATATACTGTATATATAGCTAAAATTTTGTAAAAATGTTTTTTTAATACCTTTAAAACTGAGTTTATGTACTCTAATCTTAGTTTACGGTAGACTAAAAACTGTCGTTAAATAAAACAATTTTTTGTATTATTATTTTTTTTGTTATTTATTATTGTTATTATTATTCTTAGTATTTGAAGAAAAAAAACAAATAAAACTTATTAGAAATTCATTAAAAATATTTAAATAAATATCAATAATTAAGATTTCACTGAAATTTTGATTTAATGAGTTTTTTCTATTGTAAATATAATAATTAAATATTTATTTAATTTAACTTTAACAAAATTAATCTTTAACCAATTTTTGCTATCAATCCTATTTATTATTATTATTTAGAGATTTAAAATAATCCTAAAAACTATTTAATAATAGAAAATTAATATATAAGATATATATATATGTCATTAAAAATAATTAAAAAATTTTAATTTTCAATCATTAAAATTATTTGATCGTATAGTTTTAATTAATCTTTATTATTTACAACATATACATAATTATAGTTTTAATTATATAATAATATTATTTTTTATCTATATTTTTCAACAAAAAAACAATAATTTTATGTTTTAAGTATTATATAAATTAAATATATTGCAAAATTTATTTATTTTTTATATAAAATTTTTCTGAATTTTTACAATTATTTTGCAATATATTAAATTTATATAATACTTAAATACATTTATTATTTCTATTTATTTTTATTATATATTATTATTTTTCAAATTTTATTATTTTTTAGGTACACTTAGTGTGGGACGAGTTGACCGACGATAAGACGATGCCTTTCTGCCAGAATACTGGCCTAACAAACACATTATACGGCACTTATAACAGTGCACTGGTATTCATACAGTATTTTATACCCTTATGTATCATAACCTATACATACGTACGGATGGCCGTCAAGTTGAGCGTCGAGGACATGGAGACCGATCTGTCCGTACGTGTTATCAATAAAAATAGTGTCAGAAAAAAACGTAAAGTATGTGAAAACGGGAAAAAATGTCTTATAATAATAATAATTAATTAATATATATATAAAGATTTTATTAATTTTATTATTAATAATAAGAATTTTGTTTTGATTTTAATTAATTTGGTTTTCTTTTGTTCACAAAAAACTCTATTATTTATAACCATTTTTTATTATTATTATTATTATTATTATTATAATTATTATTAAAATTTTCTTTCAATAGATTTTAATTTATAATTATGTGTGTGTGTGTGTGTGTGTGTGTGTGTGTGTGTGTGTGTGTGTGTGTGTGTGTGTGTAGTATGTGGGTGTTTGAATGTATGCATATTTGTGTGTATATATAATTATGTAATATAAGTTATGCTAACATTGATTATTATTATTATTATGAAAAATATAAGAAATTAAATTTTATAATATAATTTAATCATTATGTCAAGTAGTGTTAATATATATATATATATACTTATTATTATTAAATATGTGTCCATAAAATATTTTAAATAACTTTAGCTTATTTAAAATAATTTATTTTTTTTAAAAAAAAATAATTATTCTTTATATTTAAAAATAAGCCGACAATTTATAGTAAATATTTGTAAACATTATTTTTTTGTTTTTTTTATTTTAAAATTGACAAAATGGTTTTATTTAGTATTTTATTTTATTTATTTTTTGGTAAAAATAATTTATATGTAAATTTTGTTATTAGATTTTTAGTTATTTGTAGAAAATAGTATTATTTTAGATTTTTTTTGCTTTTAGGCACATAGATAAATAGATAAATATATAAAATTTAATAAAATGTTATTTTTTTACAATAAATACCGTATATAAATGTTTTAACTAAAAACTTATTTAAACTAAAATTGAATAGAATAATATATTTTTACAATTTAGTTTATTTTATTTTTAAATATTTAATTACTTGTATAATATTGAATAATATTTTTTTAAAAAAAACTTAACTGCATTATTTAAATTAAATTTATTTTTATATATTTATTTTGTGTTTATATTATTTTTTTCAAATATTTGTTTTAATTAAATTTAAAAATTTTATTAATAAAATTTATTTTATTGAATCTAGGTAATTAAAATGCTATTTATAGTGGTCCTATTATTTTGTATATCATGGCTGCCATTACAATTGTTTAATTTTATCAAGGAGCTTTGGCCAAACATTTTAAAGTAATTTATTTTTCAAAATAATTTTATTTTAATGATATATATATATTAATTAATTGTTTTTTATATTATTTTATATTTATTTATTTAAAAAATATAACTTAATTTAGTGTCAAATACATGGATGTGTTGCGATTTACGTGCAATTGGTTAGCACTAACCAACTCGTGCTATAATCCATATATTTATGTCGTATATAATGTAAGTTTGATAATTAAAATATTTAAAAAAATAGTTTTATTATAATTATGTGTATATAATGTGTATATGTTTTTTTAAAAATTGTTTTTTGTATTCAATTTTAATTTTTATTATTATTATTTGTAACTAAATAATTATGTTAATGTTAAAAATATTTTACCTAAAAAATCATTAACAAATAATCTCAATAATAATAATATTTAATTATGAATCTATTAATTATTGTATATCTATTTTTGTATTTATCTATCTATTATTACACCAATTTTTGTTGTTGTTGTTGTTGTTAAGTACAACAAAACCTAAGTTCTGTATATTATTTGTCAAATCTAATCATCTTTTTTTAATGCAATATTAGGATTTATATGTCTTTACTAAGAGGTTTTCATGTATTAAATCGGATATCTGATACTATAGTTATATTTATATATATCGGATAATTATTTAGTATTTACAAATATATATTGAGAGAGAGAGAGAGAGAGAGAGAGCCTATTGTATGAAATAGTAGTATCAGTTGTAATGATTATTATTGTAGACTCTCTTTATTAATTATACATTAAATGTAATGTTATATATAATATATATATAAAAAATATTTTTGTTGTTGTTGTTGTTAATTTGTTTATTAATTATTGATATTTATAGGAAAAATTCAATCAACAATTTCGACAACAATTCAAAATTGTTTACTACCTGTGCTGTTCAATGCGACACAAACCAGGACCAGCACCTGCACCTAACGGCAACGTTATATCCGACAAGTTTGTTGCTATATATATATTTTTGATTATATATATATATATTATTTTTTAAATAAATTTGTTTAATTGTTTTATTTTTCTAAAAAAAATCTATTATTATTTTTATTATAGATGGTCATCAATCTAAAATCATATTACTTAATATATATATATATATATATATATATATATGTAATGAAATGGAAAATTAACTATAGATTTTAATTACCGGAAACATTATATATATATCTGAAAATATGAAAAATTATTTATAATTATAATAATAATAATAAGGGAAACATACATACAATATGTAATAAATTTTCTCAACTATAATTCAATTATAAAATATATTTATCACACAATGATTATCAATATTTGTTTTTAAAAATAATTGTTTTATTATTTTTGTTGTATAAATTGTTTTATTATTAATTTATATATATATAATACTTAATATATTAAGGTATTGTAATAGCCTAGTATATAAACTAATTTAATATCCGATCCATTTTTATTCATTACCCCCCGGTAATTGTTTGTACTAAAAAATAATTTTTTAAAAATATTTTGTATCAATAATTGTCAAATAAAATTGTTAAAAAAAATTAATACACAATATAATACTCATTATAGTAGTTACTGTATCATAAATAACCCATAATAATAAACTACAATAATGTGTTCAACAACAACAACAAAAAAATTTTCCAAACATTGTGATACATATGTAGTAATTATTTATTTATTTATAAAACTCTAAATATATATATTTATATTAATTAATTAGTATTATAATTTATGATATATCAAATTTGTTTTACATATTATATATATATTATTTTTATAGTGTGTGTGTGTGTGTGTGTGTAAGTAATTGTATTAATCATTTATTTATTACTATTATTAGTAGTAAAAACAAACTTGACTTTACTGTAAAATAATTTATAATAATAATAATAATAATTTTTTGTATTACAATATTATATTTATATGTTTTATATTTAACCATTTGTTATGACATTAGCGCACACATACATACATACACACACACAGAATATTCTGTAGTATTATTTATTGCTATTTGGAAATCATATGATAATTATTAAATGACATGTTATTTGTATAATGAATTATTGTATGACAAACACACACACACACACACACACACACACACACACACACACACACACACACACACACACACACACACACACACACACACAACTTGTGATGTTTTTTTAAATTTATTGTTTTTAATAATTTCATATTTATAATAATATTTTATAAATAGGTATTTATAGATATAAAAACATCATGAGTACAAAACAAAACAAAAAAATATTGAAATAACTAAATAAAGTATATATAAAATAAACCTAACTGTGCCATCAAATCTACCCAACCGTAATACCTGAATGTTGTTTTTGTAAAACAACAGTTATTTTATTAGTAGAAAAAATTATTAATAACTTTTATTTTTATTATTGTCTATATTTACTACTATACTGTATTTATACACATAAAAAACAAGTTTGAACTTGTAATACAATACTAAACAAATATATTTAATGTACTAAAAAAAAATATTATTATTTTAATTTAAAATAAAATATATTATAATTTATAATTTCATGTAACAAATAATATATGATTTTTATTTTACTAAATTAATTGTAAATTATTTTTTAGTTTAACATTAGTTTATATAGTTATAAATACTATAATCACTAATAATCTAATCATACAGTAATGTCATAATAATATAATAATAATACTGTATTTATAATTGATTGAAAACAATGGTATGGTTTTGGATGTCTCCACTGGCGATACTGTAATGTAATGTATATAATGTTAAGCCTATGGGTATACATCAGTGTTTTTACAACAATACACACTAGTGGTATCAACCAATCACACATGTGGTATCAATGTAAAGGTAGTAATGACATCATAAGTAAATTAATGCACAAATGTTATATAGTATTAATAGTGCTTTTAGCAATTAATACAAAATATAATATGCAGTGTTACCAAATAAAAAAAATAACAACCCAAATTTTAAAAATTAAAAATATAAACTTAAAAATTATGTTGCTTCAATTTAATTAGGAAATAAATATATATAAATAAATATTAATAATAATTTAATAATAATTTAATAATAATTTAATAATAAATAATAATTTAATAATAAATAATAATTTAATAATAAATAATAATTTAATAATAATTTAATAATAAATAATAATTTAATAATAAATAATAATTTAATAATAAATAATAATTTAATAATAAATAATAATTTAATAATAATTTAATAATAAATAATAATTTAATAATAAATAATAATTTAATAATAAATAATAATTTAATAATAAATAATAATTTAATAATAATTTAATAATAATATATAACATATTTATACAAAATTAATTAAAAAAATTTTTATAATATTTAATTATTAATTTAATTATTTATTTTATTTAATCAAATAAAACCAAAATACCTGTCTTGGATGGCAGTTAGATAATATTAGGTTCGAAGAGCGCAAACCGGTACTTAAAATGTCGCAAAGTGATGATAGCCCAGACCTCCCTGAGTCACACCATACTACTTACATACATATCCCTCTACCGCAATTGAGATTTTCGACAAGTTCAAAAATCGAAATTTTTTAATTCACGTTATTTATGCATATGATACATGATTTCAATGTATTTTTAATACTAATGATATATCTGAAAACAAAATATTAATGTCATTTAGTATTCGAAATATTCTACATTAAAATCGTAATTATTTAATGCGTTATTTATGCATTTGATAAATTATTTCACTGTATTTTTAAAAAATGATTTTTATACTCGTATAAACTGTTTTATTTTTTATTATCTTAATATCAAATATTTTAAAATTGTAATTATAATAAAAATAATGAAAATAATAAAATAATTAATTAAAGTAAAATAATTATCAAATATAAAAATAATACAATGTTAATTTCTATAAAGTAGTTTAATTATATAAATACTAAATACTAATTACTTTATTGAAATTAACTGTATTATTTCTATATTTGATAATTATTTCACTTTAATTAATTATTGTATTATTTTCATTATTTTTATTATAATTATAATTAATGTAGAATATTTCGAATACTAAATGACTTATTGATATTTTGTTTTCAGATATATTATTAGTATTAAAAAATACATTGAAATCACGTATCATATGCATAAATAACGTGAATTAAAAAATTTCGATTTTCCAACTTTAAAGTTGAATATCTAAAACTGCGGTAGAGGGATATGTATGTAAGTGGTATGGTATGACTCTGGTAGGTCTGAGCTATCATACATTGCGGAATTTTCATTACCGGTTTGTGTTCTTCGAACCCTTTGGATAACATGTTCTTTCATATTATTGAAACAGTTATGTCAATATAATTTATTGTCACTTTATAAGTCTGAGTAAGTTTTCGTGAGTTTTTAATTGTTATTATAGTAATCTTAAAATCATCAAAAATTTATAATATATTGCTTACTAGATAATTACTAGTGTATTACTAAAGTATTATTTGGTCATTCTAGTTATTTCAATTATGACATCACTACTTTACCACTAGTGTGTATTCTACTAAAAACCCTGGTATACATATAGCACACACATACACACACACACACACACACACACACACACACACACACACACACACACACACACACACACACACACACACACATACATACATACATACATACATACATACATACATACATACATACATACATACATACATACATACATACATACATACATACACACATACACACACACACACACACACACACACACACACACACAYACATACATACATACATACATACATACATACATACATACATACATACATACATACATACATACATACATACATACATACATACATACATACATACATACATACATACATACATACATATACATAGAGCATACATCTCAATGATGCTCATCATAGCCATCATCAGTTGTGGTGACATACAGATAGAGCACAGGGAGGACAAGGAGTTTGTGTGTGTGTGTATGTGAGAGAGAGAGAGTAAGAGGACGGTTAGTATTTGTTTGCAGAGCGCCTAACAGTGCGCTCTCGGCTATGACAGCGCACGCGTAGAGCACATGGAGTCCAACGACAAGAGAGAGAGAGAAAAACCGTTTGTTTGAGTGTTTCAGTCAATGAAATGACTGTTTGTTTTTTGTTATTAAATTAAAATTAAAATATTTTTTATTTTGTATTTATTTATTCAAATGAAATGATTTATTAAAGAGAGAGAGAAAAAAATCAATCAATTTTACCGATCAATTGATTTGCGGACAACAAATACTCTCTCTCTCACACACATCGAACCGTTGACTGACCATCGACTCCGACGGATTGCTGAGATAAACACCGAGTTGTCTGTCTGGCCATTGACTTACCGCCAGAGAGAGAGAGAGAGAGCTTCCGCGGGTTTCCCATCCGAAGTTGTCATTGTCTCCCACACCACACACACACACCCGAAGTTGTGGACCAGTTGTCTACGGGTTGTTGTTCGTGGCCACCACCACCAACGCCAAACAAAGTTGGCCAGTGATTTACCGGTTAGTGACATCATCATCATCGCCACCACCAATCATAATCATCGACATCATTGACCCGAAAAGTGTGAAACTACCACACATTTAGAAGACATCTGATAGAGAAAAAAAACAAGAGATGGATGCGTCCACTTGTATTGAGTTGGCCATCGAAGGCGAACGGCTATCCAAATTGGGCGACTTTAACGGTTCGGTAGCCTTTTTCGAGGCGGCCGTCAAGTGCGGTACGAACGACCTGAAAACATTGTCGGCCATCTATTCCCAATTGGGTAACGCCTACTTCTATTTGGGCAACTATCACAAGGCCATGGACTACCATAAAATGGACCTAACAGTGGCCAAGTATGTGTTCGGTTTCAATGGACACCATATAGTAGTAGTATCGCGCGCGGGACTACTCTTATAATTGTCCAGAGATTTAACTGTTTTTGTAATCATTATTTTTTCTCACTCTCTCTCTCTTTATTTCTTTCTTAAAGATCTATCAACGACCGCATCGGTGAGGCCAAGGCTTCGGGCAATTTGGGTAACAGTTTGAAAATGATGGGCCGTTTCGACGACGCCATCATTTTCTGTAAACGTCATCTGGAGATCAGTCGCGAGTTGGCCGACAAAGTAATATAATTATTATAATTATTACTCAATTCAACTGATTTACTAAAATGTCTTTTTCTTTACTCTCTCTCTCTCTCTCTCTTCCCCCGCGCACAGGTAGGCGAAGGCCGCGCACTATACAACTTGGGTAATGTGTTTCACACAAAAGGCAAGACAATGGCCAAAGCAGGCAACGAAGATCCCGGCGAATTTCCCGACGATGTCAAACAATGTCTGGAACAAGCGGTCGACTATTATAAGTACGGGCGGCTATGATGGTCTTCCTAGACTGTCTCATAGATCTACAAATATTAATTGATGTCTAAAACAACAATTGATTTTTTTATTTTGCAGACAAAATCTCGATCTGATGACACAATTGGGCGACAAGTCGGCTCAGGGTCGGGCCTGCGGCAATCTCGGCAATACTCACTATCTATTGGGCAATTTTGCTCAGGCAGTCGCCTATCACGAAGAGGTTTGTTGTCGTTGTTATCATAAATATCTTAATCCCTGTCCAGTATTATAATATTGTTATTTGTATCTCATTTTTGTTGTTTGTGTCTCATCTTTCTGTAGCGATTAAATATAGCCAAAGAGTTTGGCGACAAAGCGGCCGAACGTCGGGCTCAATGCAATTTAGGCAACGCTCACATATTTTTAGGACAGTTTGAAACGGCTGTTTATAATTACAAGTAATATATATATATATATATCCCTTTCCATTTAACTGATTGACTAATTTATGGTAAATTGTTTTTTTTACTAAATCGGTAGACAAACCCTAGAACTGGCCGAACAGCTAAAGGATCGGGTAGTAGAGGCCCAGGCCTGCTATAGTTTGGGCAATACCTATACACTGTTACGCGATTACAATTCGGCCATTGAGTATCATTTGCGTCATTTGAAGATTGCCCAGGAATTGCGCGACCGTATCGGCGAAGGTCGCGCCTATTGGAGTCTCGGTAACGCTATGACAGCAGTTGGCGATCACCAGGAGGCGCTCAATTATGCACAAAAGCACCTGGAGATTAGCCGCGAGATTGGCGACATTACCGGCCAGACCACTGCTCAGATGAGTATTTCGGATCTACGAAAACTATTGGAAAAAGATATGGCCAACAAAACTATAATACAATCCGATATTATCGGTCGACACAAACGGTTGTCAATGGAACGAATGGATGTGATGGCACTGTCGCCACAGCAACGGAAACTTTCACTCAATACTGTCGAAGAAGTGGTGGTTAATACTACTACTACTTCATCGGGTGTCGTCGTCGTCGAAACGGATCAACCAATTGATAATATAGTGTCGTCCACGAGTACCGATTTTATTAGCAAATCTCACGAAGATTTTCTAGATTTGGTCTCAAAGTTTCAGAGCAAACGTATGGACGACCAAAGGTGTCCGCTGATGGGTGCGGCGGCGATCATCGAAAACAAGGAGAATCGCAAACCCATTTGCGGTCAACCGATTGCTGCCAATAGCCGACAGTACGCCAGCAGTGGCTGCTCAGCAAATGCTGGTAACAATGGTGGTGGTGGTCCGGGCGGTGCTCATAACGCCCGCATTAATCACTCGGTCGCCAACAACAATGCAATGAATACAAATAATAATACTACTAATAATAATAATCACATCGGACGGGTTGGCCAGTCGGCGTCGCAGGACTCTCAACAGTCGTCCAGCAGTGCCGACCATTTTCACGATCTCATCGAAATGATCGCCGGTATGCAAGAGCGTCGTATGGACGACCAGAGGGCCGCACTGCCACCTCAACCGGCCGTACGCCGTAACAGTGCCACCAACGGTCCTGAAAGTCTTCCACAACAACGAAACCATACGTCATATGTACACCAAAACAATGAGAACGGCGGTGCCGGCAACGAATTGGGTGGACCGGCGGCGGCGGCCCGATTGCGGCCAAACAATGTTGCTAACGCTCGGCGAACGGCACCCAATCGGCAATACTCGTTGGGCGCCAATGTTCTGCCCGATGACGACTTTTTCGAAATGTTGATGCGCTGTCAGGACAGTCGTCTGGAGGATCAGCGGACACTAATGCCCAGTACGTCCAGCGACGACAACACTGGCGGCGGCGGTGCGACACTCGATCGGCCGTCGACTCTGGAGAGACCGCAAAGTGTGGTCTCGACGTCAAGTAATTCGCCGCAACAGGTAATACCATAAAAAACTGTAACCTATTTTTTTGTTAAGACACTGTTTGATGTGTGTATCTCCTCTTTCTTACGCTCTCTTATGAACTACCAGAGCGTCGCACCTACCGTTCCCGACGAAGATTTTTTTAGTCTAATCCTGCGTTTCCAAGCGGGACGTATCGAAGATCAACGATCATCGCTACCCGACCGCCAATCGGACGACGACCCGATGAAATCAAGTTCGCGAAAGTCATCGACGGCTTCGTCGTCCACCACAAAGTCCAGCTCTGTTGCCACTAATACGACTACTGTTACCACTAACGCACCGTCGGCTCGAAAGTCGTCGAAAACTCAGGTCTGAATCATCCAACAGCACAGTCGGTGCGCACATCCCATACCAACTGTTTTAAATTAAAAATAATAAAAATAACTCACGACTCAAGACACACACACTTACAGTATGTTTACACTACCGTACTCTGAGAGACAAACATAATATATAAACAGACAAACAATTGACAACAAAAATTGTCTAACCGTTTAAACTACTCGTTTGGGTATCGAACTCACTCACTCACTCACTCACACACACATACAGTCACTCCTTGTCTAATACCGACTCACAGTAATTATTATTGTAATAATGTGTGAATACACTAGAAATATGTACATAAATTGTATTTATTTAATAGTGTATTTGATTATTATTATTACTCTGTATTATGATTACTAAACAAACAAAAAAATTACCGCTAATATAATTGACAGACATAATAATATACTATCTTTTTTTTTGTCGTATATATATATATATATATATAACTATATATATACATATATAATAAATTTTATATATATATATATATTTCGTAATAATATTCAAACATAAAACAGGAAAATAGTTATTTGGGGTTTTTTTTATTAAACAAACAGAAAAATTGATGAATTGAAATATTTTTGTTGTCTTAGTATTATTATAAAAAATTATGATAAAATCATTGGAAAATAGTTTGCATACAGATATCAAAATATCAAATTGTATTATTACTTGTTGTACTTACAGTATTATTATTATTATTTTATTATAAATTAGTTAATAACTTATTGATATTGTGTCACCCCCTCCACCACCCAAAAAAATAGTTGTTTAATTTATATTTACTGGTATATCCCTACTGAATATATATATATATATATATATATCGATATATATTTATAAATACAGTATATTATTGATGGAAAAAATAATAGCATTTTATTTATCTTAATAAATAGTATTTAAAAAAACAACAAAAAATATTAAACCTCTGTAGTAATTCCGCAATCATAGCTATTATTATTATTAATAATAATACATTATATTACAGTATAATTTAAGATATAGTATTTTATTTACGATAATATTAAATATATATACTATTGTAGTAATATAACTAAATATTTATCTCATTTTTGTTGAGAAATTTTATTTTTTTAATAATTAACTTAATGACGATACTATAATTAGTGATTAATTGATTAATTTAAACAAAACAAAAATTAATTTATTAATTAATTATTACATTTATTATTTTATGCTTCAAATTATTTTTTAAGTTTATTTTTACTGTAAATTATTATCTATTTATAGTTTTTTTTTAAAAAAACATAACTAAAAACAGTTTATACATACATATATATTATATGAAAGTCTATTTATTAACAACAAAACAAAAAAAACCGTAAGAAAGACAATAATAATAATAATATATTGACGGAGATTATGATTAATTAAATCTATTATATATTTTATTGAAAATAAAAATAATAAAACTGTTAACTAAATTGATATATATATATAAGTTATATACTATGTATATATATATAGATGAATATATAATTGTAAACTCCGTAATACAATAGATAGCATTTTTGTTGTTAATTATAATATTACTGTAAATTGTTTTATCAAAATTATTGATTCAAATATATATATATATATATATATATCCATTTTGAAAAGTATTGAAAATAAAAATTTGTAATTAATTTAATTGATATATATATATATATATTATTTATATAACTTACGGTACAAACAAACAAAAACATACACACATATACTATATTACAAATTTTTAAATATGAATTTTTTTTGCATTTTTAAAAAATCAATTTTTGTTTGAAAAAAATATCCTATGATTTTCTGTTGTGTCATAAATAAAAACAAATTGTTTGTTAATTAATTATTTTTTTTATTATACAGTACTATATATTATTATTATTATTATTATTAAATGAAAATGAGTTATATTTTTATTATTGCTTAATATATTGTATTTTATTTTGTTGTTGAACTCAATGAAAAAAAAATCTGAAAAAGACATTACTATTTATTTGTATAAAAAAACAATTATTGCATTTTTTAAAAAAAACAATTAATTATGTGAAATTGAAATACCAAATATAATTTTTTGGATAAAAAAAATTGTTACAAAAATTGATGAAAATTTTTAATCTGTAATCAAAATTAATTGAATTAATGATTACATATAATTTTTTTTTTGAAAAAAATAACAGTATTAATATTATATTAATTAAAACTACAATAATTGTTGGTGTTTAAAATTTAATAACATAAAATTTTTTAAATAAATATAAATAATAAAACTAAATTTGTTAAACTAACTAAAAAAATATATATATGATAAATATATTAAAAATAAATACAGATTATATATATATACGAAAAAAATTATTGTATATCTAACAAAAAAATGACATTGGTTAAATCATTGTAAAAAATTTACATTATTATTATTATGAATATTATTGATTAAAATTATTGATAATAAAAAAATGTTTACTTAAAAAATATATGTTTTTTTCTAAAAAAAAATTAATTTGAAATCCTATCAAATGTTTCAAATATGATAAATTTAATTATTTTATATAAATATTTAATAATAAATAGATATAGTTTTTTTTATTATATTAGATATTAGTTACATAACTAATAATAACTAAAAAATCAACAATTATTATAATTTCAACAACAAAAAACATATTTAATAGTAATTTATTTAGAAATTAATACAGTTTATTACATATTTATATTTTTTGATAATAATAATAATTACAATAAATACTATGCTATATAGTTATAGTTTTTTTTCAAAAAATCAAATATATATTTATATTAATATCAATTAAATATATTAATACCGGTATATAGAGTATATAGAAATAAAAGTTATAAAAATAAATAAAACAAAAAAAACAATATTTGATTATATTATGAATTTAAATGTAAATATTATAATAGATAATAAAGATAAATGTGTTAATTAGGGAGGGTTGCGGGACGGGTATAATAAAAATCGACCACAAAACAACACCCTGCCCGTCCCGCCCCACCCAAACCCAGCCCCCCGAAAAAAAATCTATACAATTATACTGAGTCTGTCGGTCTTTTTTACACTAAACGATCGCCGTTGACGCTGACCGGTGGCACTCAACGAGTCGGACGGTCTGATTACCTGCAGATCGCAATTGAAGTCATCGTTTAACGGGTCGTACAGGTCATCGAGCGATTCGACTTTTGTGCCGTCGATATTGACAATAATATCGCCCAAATTGATACCAGCTCTGTCAAGGGGGATGGGGGTGGGGTGGGGTCGGGAAGTAAATAGGAATTGAAAAAAATTAGACAACAAATATACAGTATTGATATATATATATAATATAGTATATAGTGCTTACTTATGAGCTGTCGATCCCATCATTATGTGACAGACAACAGCACCGGTAATATCGGCCGGCAATTCGGGCGACTGGTGTCCCAATCGGGCGTTCAAATGGTTTTGAATGTTGGTTCGGGTGTTCGGATCGTTTTGGTTGAGCCAACCGACAATCAAACCAAACGCTTTCATGTCGTCTATAATCATATTATGAACTCCTGACAGAAATTCTAGGTATGGGTCGTCGGGAGAGAGAGAGAGAGAGAGAGAGAGAGAGGAGGGGAACAGTAGTCAGTGGTTATTAGGTTTATGTTATGATAAGCAACAACAACATGAAATAGATTTTAGAGAGCTAACTGTGCTCTTAAAAAAATATAATATAAAATTTCATGACAACCAACCTCGAAGACATGTGGCATTGATGGCTAAACATCTGTTTCCTCCTTTATCCCGATTGAGTCCAACTATACGACCCATTTCGTCGACAATAACGTTACCCAATCCATCGCTATCGAGACTACAAGAATGATAGAATGTTTGTAATGTCTGATTGATATTACCGCTAATACGGCCGGCCGTAAAATGATGGACAAAAGCGCCGGCACTGACCACTCCGTAGACTACTTGACCAATGTCTAGCTGTTTGATGGTTTGTTCGTCTGCGTAGACGGCCTCGCGTAACGGTTTGCCGTATTCGCGCATTTTGTCGTCCGATTCTAGCTTAATGATGGCCAGTTTGGCGTCAAACAATCGCAAGGCTACCCGTCCATTCAGATGATGGCCGTTAAACATGCGAACCTTGACCAGCGTATAGTAGGCCACAGTATTGATATGTGTGACAACCAGTACGTTGTCTTGGTGTTCGCTATCAAATATATAGCCCGAACCGAGCACTTTCATCGGACCGACATAACCGGCCGGGAATTTTGTTTCGTCAGCTTTGGCGAACCGCGGCTTAATGGACACAAACGGCTCGAACCATTGTTCATCGAATACCGCCGGCGCCGCCGCCGCCGATGATGATGATTGTCCGTTGGCCAACTGTGCGCTTCTCAGTCTCGGTGGCTGCCAATTGTCTGCCAATGAAACCAACGATCGGTCAATGGTTTCAAACCAACGGTACTGTTGTTGTTGTTGGTGTTGGTGTTGCCGTTGATAGTGTAACACATATATTGATGATATGATCGGTAAGTAACTCCTGTTTATACAATCATATATGTGTTCAAAAGGGGATAGGGATATGAAAAGATAGTTTATTTTTGTTGGTGTATTTGGTTAGTTGGTTGAGATATAAAACTTTAAAAAAAAAGATTTGATAAGGGATTCAGTTTATATAAACTGAATCCCTTATCAAATTAATTCAATGGTCAGTATGTCCTTACCTTTTCAGTAAACTGTTCATCAACAGTGACATTACACCCAATCAAATTAGATGACCACTGTTTTTATATATCGGGGGGGGGGGGGACAGTTTGATTTTTTTTTTGGTGTGTGTGTTCAAGTAGGACTTTCCCACTGTATAAAAATCAGTTAACAATTATGACAGTTATATTAATACTACCAAACAATAAACTGTAATGAAAAAAGAAAATTAAATTTAAATTATGTTAAAAAATTATTTTTTTTTAAATTTTATTTTTTGTGAATCTCGTAATTATTATTGTAATACAGTATATATTTTTAAAAAATAAATGTAAGTATAAATGCATGATATTATATAATGCAATTTTTTATAAATTAAATATTAAATAAATATTTACAATTAATTATAATTTAATATATTTTTCAGTTGTTTATAAATTAATTTTTTTTTGGTTACGTTGTTTTATATTTAAAAAAAATTAAATAATTATTGGTATTACAGTATTTTTTTTTTTAAATTAATAAAAATATTTACTAAATTTATAAAGTAATCTATAGTTTATTATTACTGTAATGTATACAAAAATTAAGATATTAATGACATTTAGATTATCGGTAATAAAAAATATATAACAAATGAGTTTTTTATATAAAAAACAAATACTAATAATAATTATTATTATATTATATAAAATATTTACAATACTTATTAAATTTATACTAATTTATAATATGATAGTATTGTTAAAGCAATATATTATATAATACTGTATATATATATAATGTATTTTATATGAGAAACAATTTAGCAATTATAGTAGCAAAAAAATAATCGTCATCACCAGTATTATCAATATTATGACAACAACACGACTGTCCTTCATATGGTAAGCGCCTGACTGTTGCACTGGCAGTGGTGGCCGCGGCGACGGTGGCAGAGATAGCGGCTGTTTGTCCGGTGCATCGGTTCCAGTATAGGTGCCACTGATGCGGGCCAGTACCTCATCAATACTACAATATAGCCATTGCTGGAACATTGGGTCGGCATAATGTAATTTGTCGTTCAGTTCATTGCAGAACTGGTCGGTTAGGTCGACCCCGTATTTACTGTTAAAATCCTGTCGATCCCAATCAAACTCTCTGACGATTTCATCGGTAAAATTCTTAGATATATTGCAATTTCTGCTAAACTTTTTGTTGTTGTTGTTTTATTTATTTATTTGTTTGTTTGGATAAATCAAATCAAATACAAAAGAAAATTTAAATTATATATTGATATAATACACACACACATACATACACACACACATACACACACACACATACATACATACACATAGAGCACACATCTCAATGGTGCTCATCATAGCCATCATCACTTGTAGTGACATACAGATAGAGCACAGGGAGGACAAGGAGTTTGTGTGTGTGAGAGAGAAAGAGAGAGAGAGAGAGAGAGAGAGAGGGAAGGAGAGAGAGAACGAGAGGACGGTTAGTATTTTTTTTGCAGAGCGCCTAACAGTGCGCTCTCGGCTATGACAGAGAAAGAAAGAAAGAGAGAGAGAGAGAGAGAGAGAGAGGACAGATATACTGTATAATAATAATAATAATGTATTTAAATTACATGAAAATATGTTGCACACCAAAAGTCTTTACGATAACAAAAAAATTTTGTATTCAATTTAGGCCTATAGTATCCATCAGATTTTCTATCCCACTCGACCTCCCATTTGGTAATATTTAAGAAATCAATGATACGATCCATTTGCATATGAGTTTCCCGCATATCATTGCAAACATAATTCTGTACGATTGACGACCGATAGGCCGTAGATCGGTGACCATTGTATCTGTTCATAGCATCCATAGTCAAGTGATGACTGTCTGACTGTTTGACCGATGATGACGACGACGACGACGACACCGACGATGACGACTCTTTTACACCAATTATGGCAATTGTCGTAACAATTATAGACAACACCGTCGACGGCATTATTGATGACTAACTGACTGATTGACTGACCAATTGATTAGATACACCAATGATTTTTTTGGGAGAGAGAGAGAGAGAGAGAGAGAGAGAGAGAGAGAGAGAGAGAGAGAGAGGACTATACTAAATGATTATTATTCAAAAATATCAGTTTTTATTTTACTATAACTTGCATTAAAAAAAATTAACTGTAAATTCTGTTTTGTTATTTCAAAAAAATAAATATATACAGTATATATATTCAATAATAAATAACTTAATCAATAGCGAGATGTTTGTAATGATACCAAAAAAATAAATATTTTATTAACAATTTAGTATTTTAGTTATTAAACTGTCGACATATAAATTACAATTACAACAACAACAAAAATTGCACGAGTTTTACGCGCGCGCGTGCTTTTAAATAGTTTTTATTTTGTTTTCAAACAAAAAAATCTCATAATTTTTTAGTGATTTACTACTACTAATAATAATATATTATATATACAGTATATATTGAGACAACATTTAATGATTGATTATATTGTATATTATGTTTAAATATTTAGTTTAAATTTATAAAAAACACAAAAAAAATGATTACAATTATTATTAATAGACATCAATATAGGCAAATATCTATTAGTATAATTGTATTGATATTATTATTAATATTATTATCAAAAATTAATACCAAAATATCATCCGAAACTAATAAGCGATTAAAACATGTATTTGTTGTTAGTATTTGAATTGTAATATAATTATTAATTAAATAAAACAAAATATAATATAATAATTATTTTTATTTATTTTGTTGGTTTATAACTATTAAATTGGTCGTCCATTTTGATATCAGATTCACCGACACGGCGAGCGGACACCGGACTATACCTATCCAAACGATCCGTACGGTTCGGTGGACAAGTACTGGCCCGACGGCTGGCAACAACTGACCAAAGTATTTATTTTTAAAAAACCCGAAATCTTATTATTGATCAAACATTTTATATATGTTTTTAAAAATTTTTATTTTTTTTTGTTTTATTTTAACAGAAAGGAAAGCAACGAATGTATTCATTGGGAAAATACATTAGAAAACGGTATAAAAACTTTTTAGGCGACTCTCCCCGCGAGGTCTACGCCCGAAGTTCATCCAAAGACAGGTGTCTGGAAAGTGTTGGCCTAGTATTGTCGGCACTGTATCCGCCGGTCGGCCGATGGAAATGGGACGGCCAGTTGGGCCAACATTGGCAGCCAATACCGATAATTACGGTCAGATTTTGCGAAGACGGGGTAAATGTTTTTTGGCGTTAAAACCTCTAATTATTAAATAATAATTTTTAAAAAAAAATTCAATATAACTGTCCTCTCATACTGTATATCACCCAACAGATGCTGAATCCGCGATCGTACTGTCCGACAGCTGATAGGGATCGCAAACAGATATCTAAGTCAAAACCGGTCAACGAATTGATGGCTAAACATCGAAATTTGTTGCAATATGTGTCGGATAAGTGTGGCGTCCAATTGGACGACTGGAGCGCCGGTATGCTATATAATACATTGGAAATACAGAAACTACATAATTTGGGACCAATTGGTTGGCTCAATCAGACTATCTATCGTATGTTACGGGAGTTTCACGAAATGGTTTTCATATTTGACGCCAACACTCGTCTACAGAAACGATTGAGAGCTGGTTTGGAGTTAAATATTTTAATTATTTTTTTTAAAAAAATAATATTTTATTATATTTTATTTTCTTTTGGTTACAATTGTTTTTTCTTTGCTTAAGGTTTACTACTTAAGGATATAACTGATCGCATGAGACAATCAATCAGTGATAGAAATTATAGCCACAAAATTGCTTTATACTCAACGGTAATGTTAAAAAAAATTAAACGATTATTAGCTAATTATTAACTATTATCCCCTCTACCCGCCACCTACCCCCACCCCCTCAATACAGCATGATATTCAAGTGGCGCTATTGCTTAACACTCTCAATGTTTATGATAAGCGAAACATACGTTTCGGTAAATATTAAATATATTATTTATATATATTTATTATTCAATAGTCAACCACTTATTCAACTACCTGTCCCCTACCCTCCTCTCCACTCTCCCCTGTTTATTGACTATTAGGCGCCACTATTATCATAGAGTTATACCAATTGAATGACAGACCCCAACAACAACAATACGGTGTTGAAGTGTATTATCTGAATGTTACCGAATCGGAACAGCCGTACAAATTGTATTTGAATCGATGCCACCAAAGAGGAGGACAGGTATGCCATTTGGATGACTTTGTCCGATCAGTACAAACCTATATACCCGACAATTGGTTGGACGAGTGCCGATACACGGGTGGCGGTGTCGGAGGAGTTTTTAATATCAAATTAGAGTTATAACTGTTTGCATATAACGCATGTTAAACAAAAAATAAATATAATAAACAATTATATTAATATTAAAATATTATTATTTTTAGTGTAAAATTTTATTATATAAAGCATAACTTAATTAAACTAATTTTTTCACTTTATTGATACATATACTGTATATAATAATATTTATTTTTGCAATATATAGATTTTAATTTTCATAATTGACATATTTATAATTTTTCAATTTAATAGTCAATATAATTATGTATATATTAACATCTATTAACTACAAACTGTAATTAATTAATTGAGCATATTTATAGACTATATATAAAAAATTTAAATTTTATAGATAGATTTTATAGATTAACAATACAAAATATTTCGTATAAATCTATTTTAATTTTTATGTTATATTTTTATAATTACAGTAAATAAATTTGATTATCAAAAAAAACTTGAAAAGTTTTGTTTTCTGAAATCTATACGAGCCTTTTTTGTGTGTGTGTGTGTGTGTGTGTAGCAATTTTTTTGTGAATTTTGAAATTCTGACTTCAGATTCGGTTAGAGGACTACTAATAATGTATTGAAAAGTGGCATTAAAATTTTGATATCTCCTCGGGAACATGGACAAAATGGCGGCCAAAGTAAAAAATATTTTAAGAAATTTTTTTTAAAGTATAAATTTGAATAAAGCATCAAAAATAAGAATAAAAAAATGCAGTAAAATTTTGATATCTCTTCGGGAACATAAAGAAAATGGCGGCCAAAGTAAAAAAATTAGGTAAAAATTTTAACGTTTAGAATTGTAAAGAGCATCAAAAATATGATATAATATTTCAGGATATTTTTTTAAAATGGCGGCAAAAGTACACAAAAATTTTTAATTATAGATTTGAATAAAGGATCAAAAACAAAAATAAAAAATATTCATTAAAATTTTGATATCTACGGGAACATAAAGGATAAGTATAAGCGGCAAAAGTATAATTATAGATGATTATTTTGTTATATTAAATCATTTGATACCCTACATGACAAAAGTTGAATTTATTTTGTTATACCTAGTCAATTGATACTCTACATGACAATATTTATATAATGTATATTTGACCAGTTTTTAAATTTTTATATATTATATAGCCGCTATAACTAATGGTTTTCAATGCTATTCAAGTTTTTTTTTCTGAAAATGCTTTCTAGCATTCTTAACTGGTTTTTATTTGTATACAATTTATTGTACCGGTAATATTATATTTTTTTTAAATTTATTTTATAATAATATGTATTATAAATTTAAATTATATGTAAAAACAATAGTGTATTAAGTTATATATATAATATATAAAAAAAACAAGTTTAACTGTTACGATAAAGTTATAAAAAAATAAATAATAAATTATTAATAAATTAAACTAAAAAAAATTAATTTCATTAAATTCGATGTTATTTAAAATTAATTATTTTTAATTATTTTCCAATTAAAATTTGTATGAAAAAAATACACCATTAAATTACTGTTAATTAAAAACTACCGTAATTTGAAAAACCAAATAATACCAAATATATTAACATCTATTTAACTAAAATTGTTAGTTATGAAAAAAGATTTTTTTTTTAAAACATCAAAATTACAAACTGTAATTAATTAATTAAGTATATTTATAGACTATATATATAAAAAATTAATTTAATTTATGAAGATTTGATTCAATTATAGATATTTAATACAAAAATTTTGAACTAAAATCTTTAATACTGCAATAATATATATTTATATAATTAAAAAAAATTATTTATTGACATGCATTAGTAACTTTTTTTTAAAAAAATAATTAATAAATACATAAATATATTATGTTAAATTATATTTATATTTCATAAAATGTCATAAATTGTAATATGTTTTTTATTTCGACAAATAAACAAACAAACAAAAAATAAAATTTAATTAACATTTTTATGGTTTATTATAGTTAATATTGATACAAAATTTTTTTTTTAAAAAAAACATCAAAATTATAAACTGTAATTAATTAATTAAGCATATTTATAGACTATATATAAAAAAAATTTAATTATATTTATGAAGATTTGATTCGATTATGGATATTTAATACAAAAATTTTTAATACTACAATAATTAAAATATTTATATAATTAAAAAATATTATTTATTGATATGCACTAGTAACTTTTTTTTAATATAATAAATTTTTATTATTTTTAGTGTAAAATTATATATATATTAATTAAAATACTTAATTAAATTAATTTTGCAATTTATTGATATAGTGTATTATAATAATTAATTTAATTAAATAATTTATGTTAAAAATATATTTTTGCAAAATAGATATTTTTTAAAAACATCAAAATTACAAACTGTAATTAATTAATTAAGCATATTTATAGACTATATATAAAAAATTTTAATTAAATTTAAGAAGATTTGGTTCAATTATGGATATTTAATACCAAAATTTTGAACTAAATATTTATATAATTCAAAAAAAAATTATTTATTGATATGCATTAGTAACTTTTTTTTAAAATATAATAAATACATAAATATATTTATTTAAATTTATATTTTTGTTTTGTTGTAAAAAAAATTATATACAATTTCTAGTCAAAAGCAATATTTATTAGATAATCATAATTATTATTATTATATTGTCATAAATTGTAATATATATATTTTTTTAAATTTCGACAAACAAACAACAAATAAAATTTAATTAACATTTTTATTGTTTATTATAGTTAATATTGGATACAAAATTTTTATATAAAAAAATTGTCCAACAATTCTGCAATCATATGAATCTTATAAAAATTCAATAAAGTTTTTTTTTAAAGATTTTATTTTACATACAAAATCATTGATTATTATTGGTTTAAATAAAGTTATTGTTTTTTTCCACAAATAATAATTTGATTTTCAATACAAAAATATTTAAATCTATTTTAATTTTTATGTTATATTTTTCTAACTGTATACAGTAAATAAATTTAATTATTTTTTTTTGTATCCAATATTATTTATTTTTTATTTATTTTTTGAATATGTATTATAGATTAAAAAAAATTATTGGTAAAAAATCAATTGTGTATTAATTTTTATATATAAAAAACCAGTTTAAATGTTACGATAAAGTTATGAAAAAATAAATAATAAATTATTAATAAATTAAACTAAAAAAAAATAATTTCATTAAATTCGATGTTATTTAAAACAAAATTATTAATTATTTTTAATTATTTTCAAATTAAAATTTCTATGAGAAAAATACATCATTAAATTACTGTTAATAAAAACTACCGTAATTTGAAAAAAACCAAATAATTATATATAAAATTAAAAATATTTATTAATTACAGCAATTAATACCTAAAAAAAATAATTGAAAATTCAATCACATCTTAAACCAAAAAAAAAATCAAATTTTTTTTAAATCAACTAAAAATAAACTTAAAAAACCCGATCTTTAATATCCTTCATCTGACCACTTGATCTCTTTGTAATCGGGAAATCGTTTCTTTAGTATTTCGCAGGCAATCGAGTGGTCAGCCTTGCCGTAGCCCTGACTGTAGCCGAAGACAAGTATGGTTTTCTGGTCGGCATTATGTTGAATACGTCCGCCGCCGACACAATCGCTCAACAATTTCAGTCGCCGTAACTGTGGTTCAACTTCATCGACAATATCGCCTGAAAAATAAAAATGATTTTATTAAACAACAAAAAAACACATAATTATTATATAACTACGAAATTATTATTTATTTATTTATTTTATAAATATAATTATAAAATTTTTTGTAAAATATATATATTGATAACAAAAAAAAAACTATATTCAAAATTATTATAATTATATATATATAATTATATGATAATAATATCGATAGAAAAATTTAAAAATAAAAATAAATTCAATTTAATAGTATTATTAAAAATTAATTTTTTTATAATTGTGTCATCTTTTTATATATATATTAAATAAATCAAATTTTCGTTAATATTTTATAAATTAATTAATTGATTAATAAAAAGCCCAAACAATATCTTTTCTAACTTATTATTATTATTATTATAGTATTTATTGTATGACAAGTAATAATTTATATTAAAAGTATATAAAACTTATATTAAAAAAAGGTGTTAAAATTTAATATATATTATAATTATTATTGACTATCAATAATAAGATTGAAGTACCCAGGTAACTATTAAATAGCAATAATATAAGTCCTTTAATTTGTTAATAATAATAATAAAATTATATAAATAATTAATTCATTGTAAAACTTAATGATCAAATAAACTTTTCAATAAATAATTAAAAATTAAATTTAGTATTAAAAAAAACTTCATTACTTAAAAATGTAAAAAATATAAATTAAAAAAAATTTATGTATTAAGTTTAGGTTGAAAAAAATTAATCAAATTTTCGGACCATTGAATCAATAGGACATAAATAAAATAAAACAACTTTTTTTGTTGATTAATATATAGTATTTAAAAAAAACATTATTATTATTACTATTATCTATCAAACAAATAGCAAATAAATAGTCAAATTAAACGATTATTTGTTGTGTAAATAACTAATTAATATGTTGTTTATTATGAGAAAGTTTTTTTTATATAACATATATATATAAATAAATAACATTTAAATCTCAATTAATTTTTTTGTACCATTAAATCAATAGTACATCAAATCAAATACACAGACAAAACAAAATATCATAAAAAAACAAAATAAACAAAACCTTTTTTTTACAAAAAACAAAAACAAAACTTTTATATATACTAAATAAATATACAAATAAATACAGTATATATATATATATATATATTGATATATACTATTGATATTATCAATCAATCAATCAATCAAAAAAAAAACAATAATATAGTATTAATAATAAAAAAAAATAACATAAATTAAAGGGCTATTTGTTATTATAATATAAATTAAATACAAAGTTATATATCATATATAAAAAAAAATAAAACAATAAATTAATAAATCATTAATAATTATATCAACAAATTTTTAAACAACACATGTTTTTTTTGTTAGTGGATATCATAAACAATATATTATATTATAATATATGGGATCAGTCAGTATAAGGTGACTATCGATGATATCAATCGGTGGTCAACTATATATAGGTATATATATATATATCACTAGACATACCATGAAATGGTGCCCTTTTGTAACCCCTGACAATATATTTGGTTTGGTTGGCATCCTTGGGATCCTTGACCTCAATCAATACATACTTAAATCTACCGCAATCTATGTCCACATCGGTTACTTCATCCATGGTTTTTTGGGATCAAAATAATAATAAATTTGTTGTTTAAAACAATGTATGAATTTTTTGTTTGTTTGTTTGTATATAAACCGATTGACAGTCAAAATAATATTAATAATACAAAAATAATGTGTTTATGTGTAATACCTGTATATTGTATAGCATTGTATAACAGTATATACATAGAGATGGCACTCTATGTATATATATATATATATACCATATATTTAAAATGCTATATAAAAATAAATTATTTTATCAATTAAATTATATATTATAATTTAATTGTTTATTTTATCGATAATTTCCGGTAATAATAATTATTATTTTAATTAAAAGTTAACTAAATACAAAAAAATATAATTTATTTATTTTGTAATTTTAACTTACATTATATTATTAGTATTATTATTATTAGAATATATTAGTATATTTTACATTTAAAAATTTTATTATCATTTAAACAAAAAAATACATATTTTTTGATATTTTTAATTAATTAATTAAACGACTAAATATTTAATAGCAATTCCTTATGTGTATTAATAATATAAAAAAAGTATATCTATTTGTTAATACAGTACATTAAAAAAAAACATAAAACACATGTTAACATACTATAAATTAAATATATTAAATATTTTTTAAATACTAAATTAAAATATAATATCAATTAATTAATTAATACAAAAAAATAAATAATTCACTATTTTTACTGATTTTTTTCACAAAAATAAATAAATAAAATCAATTTGATAGATATTTTCTATATATTTATATATATTTACCATCCATGTCCACCACCACCCCAACCACCATCGCCACCTTCACCACCATAGCCGCCAACACCTCCATGACCACCGTGACCTCCATAGCCACCCCAACCACCTAATCCGCCATGTCCGCCGTGACCACCAATACCACCCATTCCACCATAGCCTCCATGTCCTCCCTCGCCTCCATGGCCACCATAAACATTAATCTTATGTTTATGAGTTCCCGTATGTACCGGCACATAGATGGGAACTGTAATATAAATAAATAAATCATTTAGTATATCATAGAAATATATAGATATATATATATATATTATTTAAAACTAAAATTAAAAAATAAATAAATAATACCTTTTTTAGTCGACTCGTGATGATAGTGATGACCACCACCACCTCCGCCAATAGGTATGGGTATAGGTATGGGAACTGTTGATTGTTTTTTTTTGTTGTATATTGTTTATAGTTTTTAATAGAAAATATTGTATTTTTTTAAAAAAATAAACTTATATTAAATTAATGGCAAACCAATTTGAACATCCTGGTGATGGTGATGATGATGACCATCATGTCCGCCACCACCACCGCCTCCTCCCCCGCCGATTATAATGATAGTTCCGCCGCCTTTATTACGGCGGCCATCGATTAGTTGACTATAATTTATGATAATTATTAAAATAACAAAAATAATTAGTAGATTACTGGTCATAATCATCATCAGTGATGTAACCACTTATTTGGTGTCCAAACAAAAAAATAAATGTATAAATAAAAAATTATTTAAAAAAATTATTGTTACATTCAAGTTATACTTTTTGGTATATATATATAAAAATGGTTAAAAACAAAATAAAAATTTTGATTTTCAATCTAAAATTAATTGACTATTAGTTTTATAGTTAGGACTCATGTTGTTGTTGTTGTTGTTGGTTAGGGTATGATATGGACCCATCTCTTAGCTGTAAATACTGGTTGAAAAAAAGGGAAAGTTAGTTATGTTTGTCTATCACTTATTATATATATATATTATTATATCATTGGTATATATATTAAGTAAGTATAATAATAATAATATGTAATTTATATGTCAAACAAGTGAAAATTTTTAGTTATTTAGTTTATCAATAAATATATATTTATATATAATTATTTAATAGACAAAAAAAACCCTAAAAATTTTAAATCTACTTAAACTTTGAGAGCAAACAACAAAAAAATCTAAATATATATTAAAAAAAAGTCCAGACATTTCATTAAAAACCAAAACCAAACAAAACAACAAAAAATAAAACTAAATTAATGTTTAATAATAAACTATTTAATAGTAATTTTATTGTAATTTTTTCAATAAAAATTTGAAAATTAATTACACACACACATACAATGTGTACAGGTTGTAGACAATTTTTTTTGTCAAATATGTTATAATTTTTATTTTTATTTATATTTAGCTTTTTTATATAAATAAAAAAACTAATCTATACTTATTTTTTTTAAATTATAATTTTTGTTGTTATTTTTTTTGCATATCAAAAGTAAGTGATGCATAAAAATAAAATGTAATCCTTTAGGAAATATGTTTTTTTAAGGAAAATTATATTGAAATTATTATTATTATAATAATTATTTTATGTATCATAATAATAGCTAATTTGTTTTAAAGCCACATAATTATGAACTTTATTATTAATATTATAATAGGTTTGAGACGTTATAATAATACTGATAATACTGTTTAGTATAGTATAGTATAATATTTTATATGAATAATAATTATTATAAAATTTATAATATAAATTATATGCGAAAATCTGTAAAACTATTAGTTGTTTATAAAAAAATTAAACAATTTTAACATAAATATTAAATTTAAAATATTTTATTTTTTGAAAAAAAATTTAATCAAATATTTTTTTAATGTCTAAATATATATTTTTTTTAATTATTAGACATATTAATTAAATCACAATATGTTAAACATAAAAAAATAATTATAATTATATAAAAATATTTGGTATAATAGCACAGTATAAACTCTATAATTAAAATTATAAAAATTTTACAATTATTAATTGTGCATGATGTTTGATGATATTGTATTTTTTTAAAAAACACAATATGATATATATATATAAAAATTTAAATATCACTATAAATTTTATGTAAAAAAAATATTACATGACTTTTACTGTATGTAAATCAAAAAAATTGCTGTCCAACTTATGTAGACTTATGTATATGACAATCAATCAATCAATGATATCCACCGCCTCCATGTCCTCCATGATCCGACTCACCACCCATACCACCTTCGCCTCCATGGCCACCCCAACCGCCACCGCCACCATATCCGCCCCAACCGCCATAGCCTCCATGACCGCCATCGCCGCCATAGCCACCCCAACCTCCTTTACCGCCCAAACCTCCTTCACCGCCATAGCCACCTTCGCCTCCGTGGCCGCCGTAGACATTAATTTTATGTTTATGCGATGCCGTTTTGACCGGTATGTAAATGGGAACTGTATGTAATGTAAAATTATTTAGTTACGCTTATTAAGGTAATTAAGTTATTTATTTATAAAAAAAAATATCAAACCAGCTTTCGATGAATGATGATAATAATGACCGCCACCTCCTCCGTGACCCACTGGGATAGGTATGGGAATGGGAACTGTAGTTTATTATTATTATTATATGATTATACCAAATTAATCAGCACATAAAAAATTATAATTATAATTATTAATAAAAAAATTATTTAACAAAATATAATTTATTGATTGGTTTCGATTGAATTACCAATTTGAGCGCCTCCTCCATGATGATGATGGTGTCCGCCACCCCCACCACCACTGCCCCCACCAATTATTATAATATCCCGGTGCCCGTACTTACTTGACTGACAATCAATCATATTAATTAAGACAATAGCATAAATTGTTGATACTATTAACGTATAGCTTAAATTGCTATTGAAATACATTATTATTATTATTATAGAAAATATTGTTTTAATTAACTTATATTTATTATATTATTATTATCACTACTACTATAAAGTTATTGTTATATACAATAAAAATCAACAATAAATCTAAAAGATTGAAAGTTTTATTTGATTATAAAACTTTGGATTATCAAACACTAAACCTTAAAACTTATCAAAAAATTTTCAGTTATACTATATCTTTATATAAGATTTTTATTTATATATTTTTAAATAAACATGAAGTGAAACGTTTGAGTGAATTATTTGGTAAACAAAAAATAAAAATATTTAATTTCAATTTTATTATTATTATTCAATTGATTAGAAAAATAATAAAAACCAACCAAAAAATAATTGTGACTATAAATAAAAATTTTTTGAAAAAACTATAAAAATTATTACTATTTTATATTATTATTTAAAATAGTTATACATAATTTATAATTTTTTTATAAAATTATTATCTAATTTTATATGACAATAAATTTTATTTAATTTTTTGTATAAATCAATTTGAGATAAAAATTAATCAAAAAAATAGACTATATTTTTCTTTATGCAAACAATAAACGCTGTCTTTTTTTAAATAATTTTTTTGATACAATAATAATAAAAAAAATTAATAATATTGTAGTACATTGTATTCAAGTGTCTAAAACAGGAACATATGTTGAATTGTATATAAAAATTTAAAATAATTTTTTAATAATAGGGGAAATCATATCCGAAAATTTACTTTAAAAATAAAATTATAAAAATTATTTTTTTTTTCGATTTCTTGAATACTTACACCAAAAATAAAGTGTTAATTAGATTATATTTATATATATATATAAATATTAATTATAAAATTTTAATTTTTGTATCTAACAGTACTGTACTTATATGTAAAGTACTAATAATTTAATATTTTCAACAACAAAAAAATAAAAGTTAAAATAAATCAATAAAATAAAAACATGTTTTTGCAATTAATAAAATAATTTTATATTAATATAATATCTATAGTGTACTAATCTAATAATGAGAGTATAAAATAATGTTATATTTTAAAATATTAGTTATAAAACTAATTTATTTAATGTATTTTTATTTTATTTTTTTTAAATAAAAAAACTTTGCAATCAACTTTACTAAAATTTCAAAAATATTATTTGATAACCTTATATATACTGTATTATACATCTTATATATATTTTTTATTTATTTATTATAAATTTAAATAATAATTTTTAAAACTGAATAATAAATTATTTTATATCTATAATTTGGCCTTAAATTAACATTAATAATTATATTTTGAATTCATATGATATTATTATATATTACATATTGAAATAATTATATAAATAAATAAATAAATATATACAGTATATATATATATATGAGATTTAGATGTCTTTTTTAAATTTGATATATAAAATAAATAAATTATTCAAAAAAAAAATTTTTCCATTCATTAGTGGTTTAATTTTTCAACAAAAAAAACAAAAATTTCAAATTGACTCTCAAAAAAAAATAATCTTTTATTTAACTATTAATGTCTATAATATTTTTTAAAAATAATAATTAATAGGAATATTTTTAATACTAAAATAATACTAAATATAATCTTTTAACTGTATTTTCCATATTAAACATATTATTAATACATAAAAGTATAATTCAATGGTAAATAAATATATATATATATATTAAAAACTATATTTAAAATTAATTACTAATTACTAGAATTATGTTTAAACCTTAAATAAAAATTATTAGTACAACAAAATCATTTATAAAGTTTTACAAAAAAACTTAAAATTTTTTCGACAAAAATAAAAAACTATGTCAAACACAAGTGTCGTCTACTAATAATTTTATTTACATCAGAAAAAACATTTTATTTTTTTAATTAATTAGTTGTTTAAATTGTAGACAATTTTATTTTTTCATAATTATTATTATTAGTAATAATTTAGTTTTAATTTTTTAATTATCAATAAATTAATAATAATAATAATAATAATAATGAGTAAAATAGCTGCGAGTCTAGCGTTGGCGTCAAAAGGATGTCAAGCAATGGATACGTCCGACGATTACATTGAAGCCATCGGTTTACTAACAAAAGCTATTGAACTAAATCCAAGTGATTTCCGCTATTATGCCAACCGGTCGCTGGCTTTTTACCGCTTGAATCGCTACGAAATGGCCGCTCAGGACGCCTTGAAAGCCGTCAGACTTAATCCCAGATGTCCGGCCAATTATGTCCGGTTGGCCGCTGCCCTGAACGGCCGTCGCCGATATCGTGACGCCGAAGTGGCCGCTTTGCGGGCACTGGCTCTGGAACCGACATTACGAATAGCCGCGTAAGTGTATGGGTGTGTGGGTGTGTGTGTGTGTGTTGTGAGCTCAGGGATGTTAGTTTTTTTTCTAATATATGAATTTATAGATATGAACTACTAATGGCCCGCAAAATGGCACTAATATCTGTCGGCTTTGACAAACACGATGTCCTACAAGTGATAGCCAACTGTAATACCATTGATGATGGTTTCGGACGACTGTTGAAATTGATTCAAATGAAAGACATTTAAAAAAAATTTTTTTATTAATTAATTAATTTTGTTTTTGTTTTAGTTTTTCTATTGAAATGTTATTATTATTATTTTAATCGACACTTGTTTTGTCATTATATTACTGTATTATTAGTATTATATTGTTTTCTTGACTATATTTATATATTGTTTTTTAAAATTTTTATTGTTATATTTGTTGAAACGTTTTTAATTGTTTTTTTTAATTTATTGATTAATTGATTTATTGTATAACACAATATTATAAGTTATTATTTTTAATTGACTTAACTATTATGTGTTAAACCCATTGAAGTTATTATTATTATTATTATTATTATATATATATTGTAATTGTATAGAAACTTTTAGACAACAATATCAATACACATAATAGTTTGACTAAATAAATAATAATAATAATAATAATCTTAATGATAAAATTTTTTTACAATAATAAAATCCTATTTGAATGTAACTTTTGCAACAAAAAATTCAATCTCAAAATAAAAAAATATATATATTTTACTAACAATTTTTATAAAGGATATCCCCTCCGATTTCATGTGAATAATACTAATATTATTGATAGTTATATGACATTTAAGTTTTATACTTAACAAAACAATTACTACTAAACTGTATGCTATATTTTTTTTAGATGGAAAGGGAGGTAAAAATTTTTCACTGAGTAGGAGGAGGACGACGAGGATATGTATTATCGTAACTAAATGATAGACTAATAATTGTTGTATAATATATAGATAAAGAAAAAAAACTTTATAAATTGTCATCAATTTTCAATATTTTAATTCAGTAGTACTTGTTTGTTGGTTTTATGTGATCATTAGACACGATGGGCTTATTGGGTGGCATAACGATTGTATTATTAGTGCAATTAATTCAGATAAATGCACAGTACGGTGGTGGAGGAGGAGGAGGATATGGTGGTGGTAGGGGTGGCTATGGTGGGGGCTATGGTGGGGAAGGCTATGGCGGTGGTGGCTATGGATATGGGGAAAAGGTTTTTATTTTATTTTATTAAAAAAAAAATATATTAACTTAAATATAACTTTTTTTTATTATTATTAATATCCATCCCTTTATCCATTCATAGAAATTCCTGAAACCAGCCGTAATTAAGCCGCCGATAATACCGTACGTCAAACCAGTGGTAACATCCTATCAGAAATATCCGAGTTTTGGCGGTTACGGTCACGGTTACGGTGGCTATGGACATGGAGGCAAAGTTATACCGATTACCAAACTAACCGAATTTCAGCCCAAGTTCGATATAACACCGTTTATTAAGTCCTACGAAGGGGCACACCTACTACAGAAACACCATAAGCCCGAACTGATCGTCAAGAATGCGCCGCCGGTTTTCATCAGACAGCCGCCCATCGAAAAGACAATCATCCAGAATGTATACGTCAAACAGCCGGTTATTGTTAAGGAACAGCCGGTAATTCATAAGGAAAAAGAGATTATTGTCAAGAAAAAGCCGGCCATCGTTAAGATCAACGAAAAAGCGCCGGTAGATGTCAAAGATTTCGGACAGACAGCAGTGGTCAAGGGTGTAAAGTCTGAATACGGCGGTGGCGGCGGTAAATATGAGGGCGGCGAAGGTTTCGGTGGTGAAGGAGGACGCGGTGGCGGCGAAGGTTTTGGCGGCGGTCGCGGCGGTGGCGAAGGTTTCGGTGGTGAAGGAGGACGCGGTGGTGAAGGCAAACGCGGCGGCGGTGAAGGCGGTCGGGAGGGTTATGGAGGTGGCAGAGAGGAAATCCAATAGATAATTAGTGATTCAATTGATTCAATTGGTGATTGGATCAGTTTATATTTATTTATTGTTTTTTTCTGTTTATTTATTTAAATTAAACTAATTAATTAATTAATTAGTTTGTTTGTACCGTTGATTTTACAATAATATTACTACTAATAATAAAAAAAACCTAATTTAGATCTCATGTATGAAATTATAATTAATTTTTTTTTTTTCTCCGGTTTGTCTGTCTGTCCRTATATTTTGAAGTTTGAATTTATTGACAATCATATGTGTGTGTGTRTGTGTGTGTATGTGCACAGCACAGGTATTATAATTTATAAAATTTATAATACCTGTGCATATATATATATACAATACATATACATATAATATTATTAATCTATTGAAACATGAATTACAATAATGTTAAACATTTATATTATAATTTATTTTCCTAGAAATAGTAAATAATAATAATAATAATTAATTGATGGTTTATTTTTTTGTCCAGTATAAATGGATACAACAAAAAAAACTAATTAATTTGTTTGTTTGTTTGATAATTTGATTATTATAACTAATGTATTCAACAACAAAAAAAAGTATTTATATCGTTTCAATCATACAATATGATTGCTAAAACAAACAAACAAAATACAATCAAATTAATATTAAAACCAATTGATAATTAATACTGTATATAATATAAAATATAATTTATATACCTGTATTATAACTTATATATGAATAATATATAAACAAAAATCATTAAAATTTCTATTTTGATTTCTAAATTAAATGTCATATATTTATTAAGTTGCAATTAAGTTAGTTGTCTTAAATTTTATTTTTTAAAAATCATTTTTAGATATATTTAATAATTTAATTTAGCAATTGTTTGCTTTAGTACAGTATTATTATTATCAAGAATCATTAATTATTAAATATATGATTAAATTTATATTAATATTTTATTAGTTTATTATATTTTGAAAAAAACAGTTAATATTTATTAACTATGTTTCAAACAATATTACATTTGTTAAATAATATAAATTAGATTTATTTTCAGAAAACTTTTTTTAAAAATATTATTTTATTAGAAATATTTATTAAAATATACAGTTATATTAATACATAAAAATATTATACCTTAAAAATTTATAAATAATTTAGATTTTTTTTTTAAAAAATGATAAATATTATTTGTTAAAGTAGAATTTATTTTATAAGTAAAAATAAATTAGATTTTTGATTATAAATATTATTATAAATATATTATAAAAATTTTTTGAATTTATTTATTTAATTTTTGATGTTAGTCATAAATTTTAAATTTAATTTTTGTAAACAAATTTTTTTATGAATACATTCATGTCATATTTGAATATAATTTATATTTCATAGTTATTTATATGTTTTTTATATAAAAAAAATTATAATTTAAGCAAAAATAAAATATTTTTAATTTATTTTATAATTAGTTGTATCACAAATAATATGTTTGTTTAATTAATAAATTCATTTATACTGTATTATATACAATATAATAATTAACATTTAAAATACTTTGAAAACAAATAATATTTTACTGTTGCATTAAAAAATAAATAAATAATTTTTTGATTATAAATTGAATTAATAATAATAATAATAACATTTAGCTTATCATTTAGATTACAGTATATAAACAACAAAAAATATTACATTAAATATAGATTTAGTTTATCAATAAAATTAAATAAATATTTAAATATATATATACAGTATATACACATAATTAACTTATTATATAATTTATTTTTTCGGTGATTATATAATATTTAACAAATATATAGTAATTAAATCTGAAAATTAAAAAATAAATAAATTACTGTAACATGAAATGCCTGTCCAATTACTCTGTACATCCCAGTGCTCCATCACTCACACACACTCACACACACTCACACACACTCACACACACTCACACACACTCACACACACTCACACACACTCACACACACTCACACACACTCACACACACTCACACACACTCACACACACTCACACACACTCACACACACTCACACACACTCACTCACTCACCCACTCACTCATCGACGAAAATAGCACTTAATCTTATTGATAGTATCCGTCAATTCATTGCGAATAGCCGTATGAAGAAAGCCATAGAGTATGGCGTTAGTGGTCGCCGAAGACATGGCTATCAGATGACAGACGGCCAACACTAGGAACAGATCTCTGGTACTTAAGCCGACGTCCGGATTAAAGTCAACGTAAATGTTGAACACATTCAATGGTAGCCACGAAACGCTAAATATGGCCGTCAATGTGACCAGAAATATGGTCACCCGATTGTTTCGGTGCATCTCTTTGTTGATACACTTGTTGTTGTTGTTTTGGTTTAGACCAACAAAACTTGGCGATCCTTTTACGATTGACGTCTCCCGATCGTTACCGACGGTCAACTCGTGGCTGGAGTCAAGTTATATGGCAGTCATTATATATAAAAAATGATTTTATAAAAATAAGCAAAAAATAAAAAAATTATTATTTTTATATTAAAAGTTCATATATTAAACAAATAATAATAATAATTAATTACTCTTTTTTTTAAAAATCTACTAATTATTTATTTTAGATATTTATTCTTTAATACTATACTATATATTCAGTATATATAGTATTATATATATATATATTTATATACATACCGGGGTAATATGTAAACTACTTAACAATTAAAGTTTAGGCAAATTTTTAAAAGAGAGAGAGAGAGAGAGAGTTTTCCGTTTTAAAATTCCTCCAAATTTCCCGGAAAATAAAAAAATTAATTTATATTCCTATCCTTCAACTATATGGGTATTGATAATAAAATGAGAAACCGGGGGTGGGGGGGGGGGATTTGCTCCAACCCTATATACTGTACAGTATTTTTGTTTAAAATACTGTATCATTATCTTATTGAAACTACTGTAACATAATATTCTCTATCTCTCTCTCTCTCTCTCTCTCTCTCTCTCTCTCTCTCTCTCTCTCTCTCTCTCTCTCTCTCTCTCTATTAATAATAATAATGTTTTAAAATTTATATTTTCAAATAAAAATAACTTATAATATTATATTTACAATATAATTCAACAATTTATTTTCAATACTACTACTATTATTATTAATATATATTATATAATATGAATATCTTTCTTAATGGTTGATATTTATATAAGAAAAAAAAATAAATGTATCCAAAATAATAATACTAAATAAAAAAAAACAATAACAAAATAATAGAAACCATTTGAATGACAATTTTTATTGTTAAGTAATATTGTACTGTATATCTAATACTAAATAATAATAATAATAATAAATCTTACATTTAGTAAATGGGATTTATTTAAATAGTAAATATATTTCTTTATTAATCGTCCAAAAAAACTGTGTTTTTTGTATTATTATTACAATAGAGGAAATTATATATATATATATATATATATATTGATATATATATTATAAGTATATTTAAAAAGCTATGATTTATATGTAAATATATATATATTAATGCTTAGAATTGATGTTTTATTCAATTTATATATCTTATATAATCTATTACCTGTATATATATATATATATATATATATAAATATTTTTTTTGACTTACAATAGATAAATGCTTCAAACAATAGATATCTACTAAATAAATGTTTTTCTCTCTATTGTTTGTTTTAATAGTTATGTTAATAAAAATGATAAGATCTATCACAATATAAGTTTTATTTTCGCAAATAAAATTTAAATTTGCTCTCTCTCTCTCTCTCTCTCTCTCACTATCATTGTGTGTGTGTTTAATAAAATTGATTAGTTATTTTCAACAAACAAAAAAAATCAAATATAAACAAAACTAAATAAAGTTGTTTTGTTTTATTTACAAAAAAAATAAAATAAATAGAAATTTGATATTTTTGTGATTTTATTTTTATTGTTTTGTTTTTAACTATTGCTTAATATTTATTTTTTTCGCAATTTATATCGACTTACCAAGTAATATGATACAATATTTTATTAAGCTAAAACCATACAAATATCTTATTATATAATATAATTTAAGTAAATACCTTATTAAACATAACTTTCATATATATATATATATATATATATATATATATATATATACATTATATTTATTAAATTATCAAATAAACAACTTTTAACATTTTCCTTAATAATAATATTATTTATTTAATTATTTAATTTTTTTGTTGGTTTCCAGTAAATTCTAGTTAATTCAATTGTATATATATTAGATAAACAATATTATTTCCAACCCTATCCACAACTATACCATTCCTCAACTATATATATATATATATATATTCCAACCCCTATACCCAACCACACACCCCACCCCCTATCTGCCCACATAATATATATATATATATATAAAACAATTATTACCTGTTAGTCCTAACAATATTATTATTATTATTATTTTCATAGTTATTGTTTCCAATATTTTTAGTATTATTATTATTATTATTTCCGCTATTAGTGTTCAACTGTGTTGTCGATAAACTGCTGACGGCTTCCTCGTCATCGGGTTTGGGCGGCGATAAACTGTTGCCACAATAATATCTGTTGACCGACCGATAACAACGGGACACCCTATGATCGCTTAGATGCGATCGGATACGATAGTGCGATACCAGCATAACGGTGCTCGGTATGAGCAACTGTGTTATCAGTATGACCAGGGAATAGACACCTCGTATATGATAGGGCCAGTGTTCGACACATTTATCAAATATAACGACACCGGGTATGCCGTACTCGACCAGCGACTGATAGATACATATCGGCGACGATATAATTGTAGATAACAACCATATGATCAGTGTGTTTATGGCATATTTGATTAGTTTGGGTGTCGACTGTATTGACATACCGGGTCTCACTAAACAAATATAGATATTAAAAAAAATATTTAATAAAGTATAATATATCTAATTAATTAAATAAAAGTTAATTAAAATCCCGCCCCTCCCTCCCCCTCAAGTACAAACGTAATATATGAATCACCACCCTTATTAAAAAACTATTGGATTAACTGACAAATAATAATAATAATAAAAGTAATTATCATTTATATCATACTATAGTACTGTTAAAAACTATTGTAATTTTTTTGTCATTAAATAACTAATTATATATAAAATACTAATTATAGTAACTTTTCATTTCTAATATAAATAGGAAATAAATATAAATTAGTAAACATTATCAAAAAATATATATATATATATATATATCAAATAAATCATTATAAATTAATGAAAATAAATATAGATTGATTACAATAATGTTATAAATGATTTTTGATTAAATTTTTTAATTACAAAATTTTTTTTATATACAACTTATTATATAATAAAATAAATACTTTATAATAAATTAATTAATAAGTACTAAATTATACAGTATATATATAAATAATATATCTATGTTATTACACAATATATTTTTTTAAGTATTTAAAATTTTTTATTGTACTAAAAAAAATGTTTTTAAAAATAATCCGTTTTCAATTTTAAAACATTATAATAAAGTCGTTATATATTACTAAATAGATTTAAAAAAAAGATTATAAAAATAAATTTATTTAATAAAATATTAACTTTTCTGATTTTGAGTATTTAATTTTTAATCCTAAAATCTATTAATAATAGTAATAACTGTAAAATGTAGTAAATATAATAAATATTTTTCTTGGTAATTATATAAAATATATAATATCTAAATATCTATTATTTTCTAATTTAAATATTGTATTAATATTTATTGCTTAATATGCTTATAGATATATATTTTTATCAAAAATATTTATAAGGGGGTAAATATTACGTAAATAAAAAAATTAATTAATCAATTAAAATGTCAATTATTATACCGGATATTATATTATAATGAAAAATATTTTTGAATACTATATTTTTTATAAATTAGTAAAATAAATAAATATATTGCGAAAAAAAAACATCTATCTATATGTAAATATCTTTATATATATGTTTTGCAATAGTCTCAAAAAATGATTAGTAAAAGTCATCATTATAAATAAACTTTATATATATATATTATATACTGTATAAAGTAATGCAATTTTATTGTTTTTTTTTAATTTTATATTTTTATTAAGGATTTTATTGATGAATAAATTATTTAAAAATCTTATTGTGTAAAAAACATACATTAAGTAAATTGATTATAAATAATTTAATTTTTCTGTCTATTTTTGTCAATTAATTTAAATATATTTTTTTAAAAACAGTATAAAGTTTTATAATATTATATAATGTAATAAATTGACATTAAGTTATATATTTTTGTGATTCAAATTTTTTTTAATAAGTATAAAAAAAAAGTTTTACTAATAATTCAATTGAAATAAAGCCTTTAGTGTTTTTCTTAAAAAAAATATTATTTAGCACTTATGTATATTTTATTTATTTTTTTAAATTTTTTTATCTAATTTATATATATATATATATTATTCAATATAATTTCAGTGAATATTTATTTAGTAAATTTGATTTTTTATTGTTTTTATTATTTGTTTTGTTTCTAATAAAAAAGCATGAAATAAAATATTTTTTAAAAATATTTTTTAAAAACAGTTATTATATTCCTTTAATAAATATATTTCTTTTTATTATAATATAATACTAGAAATACAAAAAATAAATAAATAGCAGGTAATAAAATAATATATCACTACTATATATATATATATATATATACTGTATATATATTCAGAAAATATATATTATTAATATTATTATCACAATATATTGTTTTTTATTAAATAAAATATTCAATATATTATAATAAATACCTATTATATAAATATTATATATAAAACAAATTTAAGTAAAAAATAGTATCCAATTTTTTTTTTTTTGGTTAACTTTGGATTACTAAATAAATTGTATTATATTATATATTGATTTTTATTTATAAAATTATTATTTATACTGTGTAAATATAAATATATATATATACATGGTGAAAATATTTTTTTTTTAAATTTATGGTCGAATATTATTGATTTTTTATTTTATTTGATGTTATATTATGATATTATTTATTAATAAAAAAAGCTTATTATTATTTGATAAAAATATTTTATTAAATATTGTATTAAATACAGAAAAAATGTTTTTTTTGAAATTAATGAAAACGAAAAAAATAAATTTATAGTATAAATATATACTGTATTTGACATACAATATACAGTTGAACTACGGAAACTAAACTAAATATAATACAGTTTAATATCTTTAATAAGCCATTAAGTGGATTTGAGTGTAGTTTCCTTTAAAAAAATACATTTTATTTTATATTTCTAAATTAAAATATATATAACTTATATATATTACACTAAAATACAGATATAGATTTTTTTTTAAATAATAATTTTATGTTTAACATACAATATGCAGCAATAAAATTAATTTGTTTAATTTGTTTTTTTTTGTAAAATAACTATTTACTGTATTTATTTTTGCTTAAGTTATTTTATATTATCAACTATTTATATTAATAATATAAATATATATATAATAATAATAATATATATTAATTAAATTTGTGATTAATAGTAATCACATATATTAATAATATCCAGCCTAATAATATTGGGATTTAGTTTATTATTTATAAAGTAGCAAAAAAAAATATTAACATTAAATTGATCAAGTAAAATTGAATAAACTTAAATATATAGTTAAAGCAAAAAAAAAATAAATATTGTAAATAATTGAAAAGCAATGTCATATAAATATTGATAAAATAGTCACCAAAAAAAATCTAATAAAAAATTTATTTTTAGTCTACAAAAAATATAATAAATATTGATATATAAAATATAAAAATATTTTGTAATAAAACATTATAAATTATATATTATATATATAAATAAATCATAAATATTTATTAGTGATGAATAAGTTTAATTAAAATTGGAAAATATTAACTATAATTATAATTTTAAAATATATATTAAATTATGATATTTTTAGTCATCTAATCGGTAATTGATATATCTATTTGTAGTGTCAAATGAAAAAAATAATACAATTGTATGGAAATACTAAACTTAATAATTATATTAATACATAAATCTCTAAATATTTTTCCTCTCTTTCTCTCTCTCTCTCTCTCTCATTCATTCATTTAATATATAACTTATAACTCATTAACATTCAATATTAACGGTTCAATAAATAAATGCAATAAAACAAAACAAAACAGTAATTTATTTCTTTTATTTATTAAATTAATTTTTATTTATTTATAGTATCTAATATATATATATAAAATATTATTTTAGTTTAACAATGTAATGATTAAAATGTCGTCAAATTATATAAAATCAAATAAATTTTATTTATAAATTAAAAAATGTTTCATATTATACTTTATTTATTTATTTATTATATCATATTATGAATTTATAAAAATAATTATAAAATTAATTTAAAATTAATATTCTGCTACTCTCTAATATATTGAAAAATATTTTTTGTTTGCTTTAATATTATGCTAATTAAAAATAAATTATAATATCATAATTCAACAAAAAAAAACATATATTATTAAAAATAATAATTTAAATATCAGATTCAGTAAAATCTCAATCTCATCAAAGTTAAAGAATTTTGTTTTTATAAAAATATTAATTATATAAATATTTTATCAAAAAAAATTAATAAATTATTGAATTCAATTTTAACGATAATAATCTATTTTATTATATTATTATTATTATTAAAAAGCCACTAAAACAGGAAAATTGCAGTTAATTTATGTAAATATTTTTTTTTAATCATCACTACTACTACTTAAAAGCAAATATACCATCAAATCCCTAATGGATTTGCTTTTGGGGGTTAAATAAAAAGTAGTAGTGTTTTTGATTTAATATTAATAATAATCATATATTTACTCCTAAATCAATATATATATATATATATATATATATATATATATATGTATCATAAGTATATAACATTATACTTTATAATACAGTACTACAGTATTTATCATTTAACGGATACATTAGAAACCATAATACTAAACTTGTTGACTATATCTACTATATATTTGAAAAAAAAATAAATAAAAATTCATTGAAATCTATTAAATATTAAATATATATTATATATATATATATATATATATATATATATATATATATATATATATATTGCTAAAGTATCAATATTGTATAAACAGTGTATAAAAACGTTATATCGTAGTAAACATATGTTATAATTACACAATTAATTTCAAATATATTATATATATAATAGATTATATAATAGTGCAATAAACCTACTGTATTTATATTCAATATATACTGTTTATATAGTAAATTAAGTATTAAACTTATAATATAATATGTATTACAGTACTTATTAATAAAATTTTGTTGTTTTTATTATATAATATATTCAATATATATATATATTAATATCAAGATTTTTATAGCTTATGAAAAGTTATTATTATTATTATTATTAAAATACTATAATACCATTCATATATAATAATAATAATAACTTACCAGCAGTTGATTGATTGGACTTAATCTGTATCATACGGTCGATGGCTATCGATAGGACAGTGGCCGCCGAAACCAGTGTAGTGACCGCCTGTATGAATGGCACCAGTTTGCAGATCCACGGCCCAAACGGATAGCTTCGGCGTGTAATAGCCAACAGTGTGAATGGCATACAAAATATACACAATAGTATATCGGATACAAACAAATTCAATAACAATAGGTTATTGCTGGTCATCAGTTTTTTGTTGGCCACAATAATGCCGATGACCAACACGTTGGCCACAATACCCGTCAGTATCAGTAGTGTATAAGCGATTTTCAATACAGTTTCGGTCAGACCATCGAAAATATGGTCTCTGTTGGCAAAGTCGACTATGATTTTGTTGAGCACCTGACTCTTGAGCTCATCCATAGTGACATTCATAAGCAATTCATTGGGATAGTCATAGTTAATGATTAGTTGGGTAGTGTCGCTGATTGTGGCCATAGTTTTTTGATTTTTGTTTTGTTTTATTTTATTGATTATATGAATATTTTGTGTCTAATTTTTTCCCTCTAATATTATCTTGATTATCTAAATAAAGAGACAAATAATTTTTTTAGATTAATTATTGATTTAACAAAAAAAAATATTATTATTATTTAAATATAATTAATATAATTTAAATATAGTATTACTCTACAACTATTATATTAATTATACATTAGTTACAATTAAATAGTATTACAGTATATACAGTACTGTTTTTACTGTAATTTTATAGTGTAAGTGATTTTTTTTAAAAATATTTTTATTTGATAGAAAAACAATTAAGTAATTATTTATATTTTAATTAATATTTTAAATACAAATAAATATATTTAAGTATTTTTCCATGTATTTTTATTAATTAATTATAATAAATAAATATATGTATTATATATGTGTGTGTGATTTATTAAATAATTAATTTTTTGAATGATACTTATGTTACTAATGTTTAAAAGTATTTATATTTTTAACCTAAAATAATATATTATTTACTATTGAAGTATAAATATATTTTATTTATTAGTATTAGAAAATTTTCCGTTTAATAAATTAATTTTTATTATTAATAAAAACATTATCAATAATAATATTTATAAAAGTGATACTTGAATGGATTTTTTTTTTATATTTATAAAATAAAAAGTTTTCACTTTTATTATAATATAGAAAATATTTACATCATTTTTAAATAGCGAAAATAATTTTGTTATAAAATAGTATTTTTTTAATTCAAAATTTAATTATTTTAAATCTACTTTAAGGTTACTTTTTTGAATAGTTTTATTAAATACTAATTAAATAATATTTACAATTATATATTGTTTTAAATTAGTTGTTTTTTTAAATTATTTAAATTGTTTATAAATTATAATGAATTGAAAATAATTTTTTATATTCATTAAAATATTACATTAAATATAATATATATATCTTAAATAAATAATAAAATTTTATTTATTTATTTGGATTCAACTTCTATTTAGTTTAAAGAAGAGTTTAAATAATTTATTTATTATAATAAATTTAAAATATATAAATCATTTATTTAAAAATATTTTATTATATCAGTTATAAATTGTATGATATATTTAAATTAAATAATTCATTTGTTAATAATAAGATCTAAATGTCATATAATTATATGTCAAATATTTATTTAGTTTGTGGATTACAAATTTATAAGTAAATTTAATATAATCATAAATATATAAATAAAATTTTATTTATTTATTTATTTATATATATATTTAGTGTATTTGCTTTCTATTGAAAATAATGTAAATATATTTTTAACATAAAATAATAATAAATTAATAAAAATAACTTAATTTAATTTAAAACTAATATGTTTTCCATAGAATAAAATAAGATACAAATTTTTAGTTTTTTTTTAATTAACTATTGAATTAAATTTTATAAATAAAACATTTACATAAGTACTGTATATTGTATTGAATAAAAATAAATTAAATATTTAAGTATATTTTTATTTTTTTCATAGATACAAACTAAATGCTAACTAAATGCTAACTAAATGCTAAACTATTAATAGTAAATCTTTTGTATTATATAATTAAAAGAAACTTGGTTATATAATTGTATGATTGCTTAGAAATAGTTTTATAATAATAAAAAACAAACAATTTATTGTTTATTATAACTTTTATAACTTAAATAATATTTATTTTACACATTACATAACAATTTACATCACAATAACAATTTTTTTATAGTTATAATACATTACTTAATAATTAAGTTTTTTCAATTGTCAAAAACAATAACGTTAGTGTATAATAAATTTTTACAAAAAAATAAATAAAATAATAGCAAAAATTTTCTATATATATATATATATATATATACATAAATAATAATAAAACTTCCTATATGTGTAATTTATAAATCTATTTTTATATTATTATTATTATTATTATTATATAATAAATTGTTTGATTTAATTATTTTTGTTACTTTATAAAATAATATATATATATATATGTTATTTATTAATCTAATCTTTTATTTTATTTTATTAAAAAAACATTTCTACTAATAATTACAAATTAAATAAAAAACAATTCGTATATTTAGTATAATAATAATATTATATAATATAATATAAGAAATTAGTTAAAATCTATATTAACATATAATTTTATACATATATATACAGTATATTCATTATATAATTATATTATACAGTATAGTATAGTATAATTATATTGTTTTCATATGACTAATCAAATAAAAGCATAAAATCAGTAAAATTGCTTTATTTGTACAATAATTGAAAAATGTTAATTCAAAACGGATAGTAAAATCAGATTTTTTTTAGCTATTTATAAAATGCAATATTAATAAAAATAAAAGTTAATTATTAGTACAACAATCTTCAAACATTTAAATAAAAATTAAATTAAAAACTGACGTTTGTTTTCATATGTAATATAATTTTAATTTATAAAACAAACAACAATTTCAATAAAACAATAGTTTTATAGAAAATAAAAAAAAATTTGCTAAAAAAGTTTTGATAATAAATAAATTTCAAAAACTATATCAACAATTAATATATAGTATTTATTTTTGGTGTTATTTAGAAAATATTCATGGATTTGAATTTATATTATTATAATTTATATATTGAAATACTAATCTGTTTTTTATGAATATAAATATCAAAATTGCGTTTTTTTACATAAAATGTTTGCTCTTTTATAATATTTAATTTATTTACAGATATTTTCATTAATTATATTTTTTTCGAGCAAATATTGTGTTTATATTAAATTTTTATGTCTGATTTTGAATTTAATATTAAAATTATTTTTATTGCACTTCAAAATGAATAATCTAATGAATAATTTGCATTAAAAAAATTTTGTAATAAACAAAAATTTAAAACAAAAAATCAATTCAAATCAAATATAAGTTTTTAAAAAATTATATATTAATATACAGTAATATAATTTTTTAGATTATTTAATATATTATTTAAGTAATAAATTATTTAATACATACTTTTTGATGAATTTTTATTTTAAAAGTGTTCACAAATACCACTGCAAATCAATAGCACAGACAGTCAGACACTATTTGAGTTACAAAATCATAAACTAATTGACTGTTTGTTTAAATATATATAACAAACAACAACAGAATCTCCAGAATTTCTCTTAGCATTTGATTGAATGAAACGACAATTGAGAGACAAATCGTTTTTTCAAACAGTCTATACTATACAACATAACATTCACTTAAAACACAACATCACACGTATAGGTGCGCACAAGCAATGGGTCCATAGATATGATAAGCAAATCTTTTATTATATAAATTTTATATTAATATATATATATATATATATATATATATATATATATATATATATACTCTCTCTCTCTCTCTCTCTCTCTCTCTCTCTCTCTCTCTCTCTCTCTCTTTATGTCTATATATATTTGTATGTGTATGTGTATGTGTATGTATGTATGTGTGTGTGTATGTGTGTATGTGTGTATGTATGTGTGTATGTGTGTGTGTGTGTATGTGTGTGTATGTGTGTGTATGTGTGTGTATCTGTGTGTGTATGTGTGTGTGTGTATCTGTGTGTGTATGTGTGTGTGTATGTGTGTGTATCTGTGTGTGTATGTGTGTGTGTGTATCTGTGTGTGTATGTGTGTGTGTATGTGTGTGTGTATGTGTGTGTGTATGTGTGTGTATCTGTGTGTGTATCTGTGTGTGTATATATGTGTGTGTGTTTAGTAAAATTAATTAAAACATAAATATTAATGTCTAATTAACTTTTAAATTTTTAAATAGCTGTTTACCATATTTAATTACAAAATTATGTATAATTAATGTCTAAGAATGTTAAAAATTAAAAATATTATATTATATCAAATAAAACATTTTGTTTGATAAACAATTGAAATAATTGTTTACAATTAGTCTTAAATAAAACGATATATTTAAAACAATAAAATTTTTAATTAAATTAATTTTAGTTTGTTAAAAATATGTTCAAAAAACACATGTTTAATATAATTTATGTTTTCTAATAATAACAATTAATTTTTACAATTTTTTTTAAAAAGATTATTGATTAGTAAATATACATAATATATATATAATATTATAAAAACGTTTGTTAATTTATCTAACTAATTATTTTATTTAATTATAAATATAAATAAAATTTTAGATTATGAATAAAAAATATATATATAATTAAAATTATATTTAATTTCTTACTTTATAGAGTATCTTATGTATGAAAATTAATATAAAATATATTTGAATAACACATTAGTTTTGAATGTAAATTCAAATAAAATTAATTTTAAAAACCAAATAAATATACTATTTATTGTAATTATAATACTGTATATTCAAACTATATAAATACTATATTATTGGAGTATAATATATACAGTATATACAGTTTGATTCAAATTATTATATTTATTAATGCATCCGTAAAAATATTTTTTTTAAATAAAATTTATGAACAAATATTTCAACAAATTTAAAAAGCAAATAATAATTAAATGAATTATTTTTTTATAAATTGATTTTTTTTAAATAAATAATTCATAATATATTATATTTATTTTTTTATAATTCTAAAGCATCCTATTTATAAATAGTATATAATTATATTTTATAGAAATTTTAATATCAGGCACTATTTTATTATATGCAATATTTTAATATTATAATTTTTTAAAAATAAAATATAAGTTTAATTTATTATATTTTTTTTAAATTAATTAATTTACATAATTAATCAAAAAGTAAAATTACATTTATTATATTTTTGTGTAACTATAATATTATGGTAATTTCCTTTAAATTTCTATATAAATCTTATATATTGAGAGAGAGAATATTCCTTAAGGGAATATTCCTTTATTAATATGCAATTGTATTAAAAAAAATCAGTTAATATAAATGTAAATATATAATAGATAGCTTTATTATTATTATTATAAATACATTATGTTATTAAAGACATTAATTAAAACTAGATTTTATATTATTTTTATTTTTTTAACTTTACTTTTAATAATAAATTACTAATTCAAGATATATATATATTGAGACACTAAGCTTTTAACATTTAAAAATAACTAAAACATAACTGATTATAATATTAAATTTTATATAAAAAAAATATATTAAGTAATTTATATGAACATATTTTTTTATTATATCATATTTATAAGAAAATATAAATTATCTTATACTGTAATTTTAATATTTATATATATATATATAAATTTACATTTATGTATACATAAATAGACCAAAAATATTTACTTGAAATATATAAATATAAAATTTTTTTAGCAAAAACATTAAGATTATTGAAATTGCAATGATTTTTATTTTTATAATTTATAATCAAATAACTTTATTATTTGATATTATTTAATAGTTTTATACATAAAGTTGTAGTTATAATATTTTTTGTAGTTTTAAATATCTAATTTAAAAAAAAAATTATACAGAAATAAATAAATAAAATAAAATACTTCAGTCAATAGTATTATTCACAAATAAATATATATAATTATTGAATAAGATTTTCATATAATATTTTTTTCAAGTAAAATTGAATAAAAAATATAAATGTTTATTTAATTAAGTTTAACTAATTTTTTGTTTATTAATGAAATTTATTTGGAAAAAACATTATATCATTTATACAAAAAAATAAACTTTTTAATTTCAAATCATCATGGACATAATAATAATAATAATAATAATTTTAATACACAGGTTATCTTAGTATCATTTATACAACAAATGTTTTTTTTTTAAATTAATACCATTTACAGTAGTTTTATTTATTTTTAAAAAATAAAAAATTGTATATTAAGTTCATTGTACATAATGTTATTCACCATATGTAACATTATCTTTATAAAAAAAAAATTTAAATACATAATAAATATATTAAAGTAATTATATGTACATTTAATAATAATAATAATAATAATAAACTAATGAACTATTTATTATTTATATAATACACCACATATTACATTGAACTATATATTTTTAATACAGTATATACTGATATACAATAGTATTATTACATGTATATTGATATATGCTGTAATAATATGGCACATGTATTACCAAATTTATATATATATATATATATATATAAGCTAAACAACAAACAAATTAACTGTAATTTTTAATGGTATTTTTCTTACACAACAAAATTAATTACTATATATATATATATAAACAAAATATATACACACAAAAAAAATCTCAAAAAAATGAAAATTAATTCATAATTCAAACGATATAAAACTTTTGAAACTTTTAGCATATTTGGATAACTCTTGTTTGATGGCTGTATGATAGTAGCCATAGAAGACGGCATTAGTTATAGCCGAAGACATGGCCACCAGATGACAGACAGCCAACAAAATATAAAGATTTTTCGTAGACATTGAATCCGTGTCGACAACAAACAGATCCGTCCATACGTTGAACAGATTCCAGGGAAGCCACGAAACGCCAAACAATATGGTTATCGATAGCAAAAACATTGATATCCTATTGTTACGTATCATACCTTTGTCAGCACAGTTATGGTGATGGTGGTGGTGGTGGTGATGATGATGATGACTACAACTAGTAGTCTTAATAGTAGATCGATGGACATCATCAGCATCGTTGGTGGATGTGATTGAAATGGTCGGCATCGGCGGCTTAGTTGTCGACGTCAGGGTAATCGTAAAGTGATCGCTGATAATGTTATCCCTAAATATATATATATCAATATATAATAGTTATGTTTATAGTTTGGTAGTAATAGTAGGCGTTTTTTTTGTTTGTAACTACCGTTCCGATCCCTTGTCCAACAGTGATATGTCGCCATTAGCCGCCAGTGTCAACATGTTTGTCCTGATCCGCCGATAGGTATTATTATTATTAGCAACCGATTTACCGAACCGATGCCGGCGCAGGTAGTGTCGGATACGGTAGTGCGATATAAGCATAACAGCATTGGGTACCAACAGTTGGACAATCATAACGGCCAACGAATAGACTATTCGGTAATTGTATGGCCAAATTTCGGCGCATTTGTCGTAAGTGGCCACATGTTGTATGCCGTAAGCAACTACGTCCTGATAGATGGCTATCGGTGCGGCCAACAGTACGGCCACCAACCATATGATTAGTGTAGTTAAGGCATACCTGTGCCGGTAGTGCGGTATCCATGACTTTTTTTGTCCTACAGTTTGAAAAAAAAATATTATTTTTTTTAAATAGTTTTTTAAAAAATTATTTTTGTTTGTAATTATTACTAAAATTATAAATTTATTTCAATAGCATACTTATTATTATTTTGTTTACTACAGTATATTAAGTAAATTATATAATATAAAAAAATCTATAATAATTATAAGTTATATATTATTTATTTATTTTTATAAATACTTTATTTAATTAAATTAGATAAATTAAAAAAAAATACTGTTAAATAATTTATATTTTACGTATAAATTATACATTTAATTTTTTTGCTTGTTTAATTTTGCTAAATTAAATCTAACAAGTAATAATAATAAATTTTTATTTTATTTATTTTTTAATTACTATACACGTGATTATTATTTTCTTGAAATAAACGGATAACAAAATAATAATTATTATTATCTAATATAATTAAATTAAATCATTTTAGTGATAAAATACAATACTGTACAATACAACAGTACAAATAAAAACATGTGATAAAATAGATAATAGATAATTAAATACTATTAAAAAAGATTTTTTCTTAACAAACAGTTTAGTTTAACAAACCTTTAATTATTTATAAAATATATAGTAATTTTTGAAAACAAACAAATAAAAACTATATATTGCTAAATATACAGAAATAGATAATTAATTAATTTATTTAAATATTTAAAAATAATATTGAAATTATATATTTGTTATTTGATTTGATATTTGATTTATTATAAAGTTAATTGTGGAGTTTATTTAGAAAATAAAAAAACAATTTATTATTATGTACATAAATAATATATATATATATCAGGGTTGCGAAAGGGGGGGTAAGGCCATCTTACCCCCCTGAGGTCGAGATTTTTAGGTTTTACCCCCCCCTGGCCTAAAGCCAAAAAGTTAGGGGGCCCTCTACCAATTTTCGGCGCCGMAGGCGCCGAAAATTTTTTTGATTAGTGTAAAGTTTAAAATTAAATAAAAATATAAATACTTTATTAAGTTTTAATATAAATAAATAGCTTATCTTAACAAAATAAATAGATAAAAATACTTAATTACATCAATTTAACATTATTTACACCAGTTGGGGCACTCCACTAGTTCCCTAATAAATTCCCACCAATTTTCAAGAAATTTTTTTCATTTATGTAAAATTTAATATTAAACAAAAATATAAATACTAATTGAGTTTTAATATAAATAAATAGCTTATCTTTAGAAAATAAATAAATATAAATTTGTTAAGTACTAAAAAAACTATTTAGAGTTGGGGCATTTCAAGGGTGGATAGTTCCTTAATAAATTCCCTCCAATTATCAAAAAAATATTGATGTTTTTATTTTATAAATTATAATAATTGTTTATGCTACTTAATAAACAAATTGATCTGTATTTTTCAGATTTTTTAATAATTACTAATTAAATTAACTAAATTACAATTTAATTTTTTAAGACAATAAATTCACTACAATATCATTAATTTTAACAACATTGTAAATAATTAATTAAATAGTAGACAAGTAATTATAGTAATTGTTTTTATCTTATATATATTATGTAAAATTTCATTTTTTAATATTGTAAAAATAATATTGAAAATATATTTTGAGTCTTAAGAAATTAAGTTGGAATATTTTCCTTTTTTAAGAAATTTATGTGAGAATTTATGAAGAATTTAATGGGAATTTAATGGGAATTTAATGGGAATTTAATGGGAATTTAGTGGGAATTTAATGGGAATTTAGTGGGAATTTAGTGGGAATTTATTGGGAATTTATTGGGAATTTATTGGGAATTTATTGGGAATTTATTGGGAATTTATTGGGAATTTATTGGGAATTTATTGGGAATTTATTGGGAATTTATTGGGAATTTATTGGGAATTTATTGGGAATTTACTCAAATTTGGGAAAAATTGTCGTTTAAAAATGAAATAAAAATTGTTCACCCCCCTATACCCCCCCCCCCCCCCCAAGCTTTTTCAAAAATTTTGACATTTTACCCCACCCTATACCCCCCCCCTGAGATCGAAAACCTTTCGCAACCCTGATATATATATTACTGTAAATTAAGATAAAAATAACTAAATAAATTTTATATTAACAAATACCATATATATATATATATATATATATAATAAACTAATTGGAAAAATTTTTACTAAACTAATTAACTAAAAATTTAATTAATTCAATAAATATTAAGAAATAATAAGATATTGTAATTAAAATATTTCCACTGAATTTTACAATAATATTCAATATACTGTATATATATATATATAATAAATTTAATATTGAAATATTCAGATTTACATTTTTAAAAAAAAATTATTATTATTATTATCAATACTAATATATATTAATATTAATATTTGTATATAAAGTTTTTAAAAACAATAATTTTTCATAATATGAAACCATAAATGTCAATAAAAAAAAGTTTTTTCTCAATACAATTCAATGGAAAAATTTATTTATTATTTTTTTGTAGATCTATTAATGTATCAGATTCTGGGTAAAGTTATTTAGTATTAAATGATAAAATTAATAAAAAATAAAATAGTTGTAACCTTGATATTGTTAATATATTATATAACAATATATTATTATTTAATATTTTTATAATAAATATCGCATTACAATAATTGTAACAAGCACACATCAAATAAAAAACATTATTATAAATTAAATGTTAATTTTTATATAACTATTTTTTTTTATTATTTAAAACAATTTATTATTTAAAATTTAATAAGTTTTATTATTATTATTATTATTAATACTGATATCTTATATCCATAATATATTTGCAATAAACTTTATATTTAAATAAATAGATATTATATATAAACTAGAATTTATTTATTATAATATAGATAAATATATTATTAGTTTTTTAAAAAAAACATTATGACCAAGCTTAGTTATACAGTATATATTATATACAGTATAATCATATAAATAATATATATATCATTTATTTTAGTTTAGACACAAAAAACAAACAATTTTGCTATGAGTTTAAGATTTTATTGTTTGTCTTTTTTTTGTATTAAAAATAAATTAAATTATTTATTGAAATGTATTATTATTTTAAATCATGTTATTTATAAAATATTTTGTTATTCCCGGCAACACATTATATACTGTATATCTATAAAAAAATCCTATTATTTAATAATACATAATATATTTTCTAGAAATAGTTAACAAAAATATATAATAAAATTCTGTTTTAGTTTTTATTTAATTTAGTATTTATTATAATTTCAATACAAAATTTTAGTTTAATATATATATTGTTAATATTTTTATAGATATTTTAATTCCTGTATAATAGTGTTTAATACGTTTTGATAATTTTTATTTATTAAATATAAATTTACTGTATTATATAGTTGCTTAATTAATTTATCCAAATTTAGTTTATCTACAATTATATATATATATATATATTAATAAGTAATTAATTTATATAAATATTGATAATATACAAAAAAAATTCAATGTTTGCTATTAATAAACAAATTGTTACTAAATATATATATATCCAATTGTAGAGTATATTGCCATTAATTTATGTGAAATATTATAAAATTATTACAACAAAAACAAAAAACTTTAATGCAATTATTATTATTATCATTATTATATAACTCTTAGTTTATTTTTTGCTGACAATTATTATTGTAAATATTTACATTACATTTAATTATATATATATAATGTAAATTTATATGATATTTATATAATATTTTATAAATATAGTCAACATTTATATATAAAATTGCACTGTTGCAATGTTTGATTTTTTTATAGATAATTAATAAAATCAAACATTAGTTTTTTAATTTCTATTTTTATCAAACAAACAAACAACAAAAAAAGTCATAAATAATTTTTGTTTTGTTAATTTTTTTTGGTGGGAATAATATATTATCTTACTATTGATAATAATAATAATAATAATAATGTTTTTTTTTGTGTATTCAATAATTATTAACAACAACAAAATATTACAACAAATATGTTGTAATATGTTTTGTTTGTTTGTTTTTTGTTTTTTTATATAAATGTCATTGATATTTATTAATTAATATTTTTTATGGTATGTATTTAATTAACAAGGTCATTAACAATATTTATTATTATTACTAGTATTATTGTATCATGTATTATAATAGTAATAGTATATATATTTAATTGTTATTAAATAATTATATATTTATTTATATATATAACTATATGTATAGAATTTCAATTATAATCTAATCATAAAACAAAACTATAAATGGTACCTGGTACAATACCTACAATATCAATTACAATTTATTACAATATCAATTTTATCAATTTATAGTGCAATACTTATATAATTAATATTTATTTTTTTTGAAAAATACGGAAACAAAATTACGGTAACTGGTTTTTTAATAAATTAATATACTAATAAATTAATATTATATAAATATTCAAAAGTTTAGCTAGGACAAATATATTTTTGGTTACATTTAGATTTTATTTATAATGATATAAAATCTTTTTTTTGTTGTTTGAAGCACCGGTATGCCATGCTCAGGGAGATACTTACGCCAGAAAAAATTAGATAAATATTAAAACAGACACGTATTTATAACTAAAAAAAACTATAGCTACAAAAAAATATATTTTTTTTTATAAAAAACCAGTTACTATAAGTTTGTTTGCAATTTTATATAGATATATGTAATATGTATATTATATACAATATATAAACCTTATATATATATATATATATTATACATGGTATTATTATTATAATATTGTAAATATCGTATAACTTATATAAACTTTTATATATTAATTTGCAAACTTTATGTATGCAATATTTTTTTTACATATTATGTAAAATTTTGCAACAAAAAAATATTATATATAATATATATTTATATTAGCTTATATTTCAGTCATATTATTATTATTAAATATGTAATATAAAGCTTATACGGTATGTATAATACAATAAAAACAACAACAACAATAAAACTTTGAAACTTGAGGTCTTAAATCATTTAAAGAAAAAAGATATTAATAGTAATTTTATTTTTATCAATAGATTAAAATTATTATATATTTTTTTATATAAATATAAATCAATATATATTATAAAATATTATTTTCCCTAAAATAATAAGTACTATATATTATATATATATTATGCTATAATAATAATTATAATTATTATTATAACTTTTTATTGTTTAAAATTAATATAAAATTTATTCAATGCTATATTTGTAATATTTAAATTAAAATATGTATATATATTTATAAATTTATGCAAATAAAAATAGTCAAACAAACTTTAACATGAAAATTTGAAAACAACAAAATAATTTTTTTTAAATAACTTTAAAAAATCCAATATTTTAGTCACTTTACAATAAATTATTGATATCTTTGTTGATTTATTTATTTTTTTACTTGAAATAAATATAAATAAATTACTGACACAGACATAGACACAGTTATGTATGTTTTATATTTCATATAATGATAAAAATAGTTTATTTTTCTGAAAAAAATATAATATAATACTTAGTATTATATTTATATACTGTACTGTATATATAAAAAAAATAATATAAGTCTCTTCAAGCAAACATAATATATGGGTATATAAAAAATGTATTAATAATAATAATAATAATATTTATATATAAATTTTAACAATAACAACAATATTATTATAATACGATTATAATAATTTGATATTATTATAAATATATTATATATATTTTTTTGGTACAACAAATAAATCATAATATTAATAAACATCTATTATATTGATTTTATTTATACTGTATATTTGGAAAAATTTAAATTGATTATTATTATTTCCAAATGTTTGCATTAAAAAATTTAAATATTTATTTATATATCTATATATTATTAATACATAATCAAAGATTATTATAAAAAATATATTATATTTTTTTAAAAACTAGATAAAATAAATTAATATAAAACTCAATGTACTAATAAAAATATTATATAATAAACTATCAAGTTTTTTTGGTGGGATTATAAGTACATACTTTGAATTTAATTTATTAGAATTTTAGTACACATTATTTTTTTTATCAATAACAACACTAACAATAAAACTAAAAAATAAATTATATTATGATTATAATGCATATATGATTTTAATCATTTTTATTTATTTTTAACCAAAAAAAATAAATAAAATAAATCATATCATTATCATCTTATTAAATGGAAAAAAATATATTATTATTATTGCTTAATATTAATATTATTATGTGATATAATAATTTTATATTTTTTTAAAAATAATTAATAAAAGATAAAAATTAGTTTTAAAATTATTAATAAAATATAAATATCTTATAATAATAAAATATTTTAATAATTATTTTATTTAATAAAAATATTTATTTTATTTTTTTTAAAAAAAACCAAAAAATACCTGTCACTGGATTAGCAGTTATATGTAGCATACGGTCGATGGCAATGGTAGTGATGGTGGCGGCCGACACAAAAATGGCCACTCCCTGGACAAACGGTATCAGTTTGCACAGTGATCGGCCAAATGGCCAGTCCTTGCGTACCAATAGCAACAGTGTAAACGGCATACATAATAGACATAATAGTAGATCGGATACAAACAGATTGACCAGCAATAAGATGTTTGACGATTGCATCAGTTTTTTGTTGACAACAATAGCACCGATGATGACAATGTTGGCCAATAGACCGGCCACTATGAGTATACTGTAGACAATGGTCAGTATAATTTCGGTACCCGAATCAAGTATGCGGTCGTGTTTGATGTACCGGTCGACCAGTTCGGCAATCTCTTGGACGGTCAGATCGACCGAATCGATGATTTGCGGCTCATTTGTGGCCGAAATCATTACTAGTGTCGATAAATTCATTAAATATTATTATTATTATTTGTGTTTTATTACAAAAAAATTAATAACTGTTTAAATGGGATATTATTTTTAAAAAAAAACTATTATAAGATATATATATAATCATAAAATAACTTAATATATAACTATGTATTATAACATAGAAAAATAATTTTTGTTTTAAAAATTAAATTAAAATAATTAAATTTATGTTATAAAAAACTATATAAATTTTAACAGTTATAAAGATTGAATGCACTTTTACTGTATATTATACTATTCAATATTAATATATATATAGAAAAATAAACTATTTTTTAATAAAACAACTATATTATATTATAATACAAATATAATTGTTTTTTTTAAACAAAATCATATATATATATATAACAATAAAATTCAACAAATAATAACTTATATATATTATATGTATCACTAATTTAACACTAAATTATAAAATTATTTTCTTTAGGCTAATACTGTAATAATTACATTAACTGTGTGTCTGAAAACACTCATTACAAACACTCGTATATATTATATTAATATTGTTTTTATTAAAGTATAGCCTTTTTTTGTTGTATGGATGAGTCGACTCAAATAATTTTTACAGTAAATTAGTTATAGTAGTAGTAGTAGTAGTAGTAATATATAGTATACTAATTATGATACTGTATTACTATAGTATAAAAACAAATATATAAAATTATAATTTTTATAAAATTTACTAAATTAAATTATTTTTTTTTAAATTATTAAATAATAGATATCAAGTTTATGGCAATACTACAATAATTAATTAATTATAATAATTATCAAATAAGTTATTTAATTAATTTTTTAATCATATGATTTTTTAATTTTAATGCATTACGATACTACAATATACAGTACTATACGTTTATAGTATATACAATAAAAATTTATATAATGTATATATAAATTATAGTATCTGGTTGTACTGTATATATTGTAAATTTTTTTTTATAATGTTATAAGTTATTTATTGTATAATTATCTTATCTATTTTTTTTAAAAAATAATATATTTTAGCATTAAAAATGTATAACTAGTAATACTATATATATATATATATATATATATATTACTAATATTACATAATCTCAAATATCAAATAAAGATTCTTTCTCTCTCTCTCTCTCTCTCTCTCTCTCTCTTATTTTTTAATCTGGATAATAATTTTATCAATTACTATTATTATGTATTATGATTTAATATACTTTATATATATATGCTTAATATATTGATATTGTATTGCATAATATTTATTTATCATTATATACTACACGATTAGTTTCGTAACAATCTATTATCAGAGAGAGAGAGAGAGAGAGAGAGAGAGAGAGAGAGAGAGAGAGAGAGAGAGAGAGAGTTATTTATTATTATTATTATTTCAATAAATGATTATGATATGATATTTTACCAACAAAAATATTATATAACTAAATTTTATTTTATTTTTTATTATTTAGCTATATTATTGCTACTACTACAACTACTACTATTAATATTATTATTATTATATAAATTAAATAAAGATGATAAAATAATAGATATTATTATTATTATTATCCAATTAATTTGGTCCCGGACATAATTTTTTTTTATATAGATTAAATATCTTAGATATACCAGTATATATACAATAAGTAGTACTGTACAATAATATAATATTATTAATATTTTAATCCAATTATATATAATATATATCAATATATTTTTATAGTGCAGTAAACTTAGTTTATTATTATTTTTCAACAAAAAAAAATAAAATTATTGTAATTTGTAAATAAAACACTTAATACAAAAATATGATATATATAAACATTTAAGTAATAGTTAACATTTAATTATTAAAAGTGTATTAAGTAATTATATAAATATATATAAGTAATAGTTAAATTTAAAAAAAACATGTAGAAAAACTAAATTTTAAATCAGTAAAATTCAGTCATTTAAATTGTATGTTTATATTTATTTAAAACTATCGTAAAAATAATTTATTTTTATTAAAATTTAAAATAACTGTATTAATTGTTTATATAACTTACAATTTAAAAAAAAATTTTTTGCATATCATTATAAAAACATATATTAACTAAAATTAAGATCTAGTTTATATAGACTATACAATAAATATATTAACAAATAGTCTATAGATAATCATAAAATTTAATTAGTTCATAAATAAAACAATTTTAAAATTATTATTTAAATGCAATTTTTTTGTTTACTGTATTTGTATTGTTTTTGTGCAAACTTTTTTTTTATTTTTTTTTATTATGTATGTCCGGATTATGCAATTTGTATACACAATTTGTATGGTTAAAGCAATAATATCATTAAATAAATAATTGTTTTTAACAAATATAAAATGTGTTTGAATCATAAAACTGAGAGAGAGAGAAAAAAAAAAAAAAAAAGTAAATTAAATTTTTATGTATTTGACGTATGATTTTTTTTGATTGCCTTACTTTAATATTTTGCTAATTTAAACAAATAGACTATAATACTGTATAATACTGTATATATTTAGTGATATTTAGTAAGTTTTAAAAGTATTTTTATTGCAAATGTTAAAGTTATTTTTAGCTTAATAATTAAAATCACTAAGTAAATTAAATATTATGTGTGCTGGATAATTTGAATAATATATTTTTTTATTTGAAAAATAATTATATTAAAATCAAATATTTATCTTATATATATGATATTATGTATACCAATTATGTTTTAATTTAGTTTAAATTAATAAGTATTTTTTTTTTAAAATACTAGTAATAGAAACATTTAAGCATATTTTTTAAAAAAATGTTTTTATTAAAATAATATATAATTTATATATATATATATATATATATATATATTATTTCAAATTCAGTATGTTTATAATAAAAAAAAAAATATGGTTTACAAAAAAAATAGTACTAATTAATTTATTTATAGTTAATGTAGTGTTTTATTATTTTTTTTATTTTATTAACTAAATAAGTCAATTAAAAAGCAATTTAATTAGTTTACTTAAAATTTAAGTTTATATATATATATATACACTTTTATAGTTATATTATATATATCGATATATATATATATATATTAGAGTTAAGCAAGGTTTCGGCTTGACCCCCCCCACTACCCCTTACTTAACCCTGATATATATTTATATATTTGTAACTTATAACTGTAAACTTAGTTGATTTTGAGTAGTTTTTTTTAGATATCAAATTTTTCAACACAACAAAATCAATTAATTAGTTTTGAGAAAAAAAACATTTTAAAAAAAAAAAATGGTAAATTAACTAACCATACGAAAAATCTGTAAATAAATAAATGTGATATAATTTTATATAATAATAATAATAATAATAACAAAAAAAAACATATTTAATTATACTCATCAACTCACACTCACCCACTCACCCACCCAAATGGATTTATATTGGTATTCAAACAACAATACACACATCAACTTAACAAACTATACCATCATTGACGAGTTAGGACCGCAATTGGAGGCCATTCCCAGTAAATATCATATCATTGTCGTATTGGTCTATACGGTAACAGCCGTATGTGCACTGTTGGCCAACGCACTGGCCATTTGGGTGCTTGCATCGGGCACTCGGACGTCGGCCGAAATGTCCAAATATCTAATCAATTTGTCCGTTTCGGACATAATTATGTCGGCATTTTCCACACCCTTTTCGTACACAAACTTTATGTACGGCCGATGGCTATTCTGGCCAGGCTTTTGTCCCGTTGTATTGTCCATACAAGTGTTGTCGATGTTTGTCAGCATCTATACACTGATAGCCATCGGTATCGATCGGTAAGTGATCTCAACAAACAAACAAAAATAAAACAAAAAACTTATCCAAACCTAACTACTATACCTCCGGGGGTACACAACTATTCCAGGTATTACGCAATCGTGCGGCCACTGGACACCGGCAATTGGCTGAAAAACTTTCCGCGCGTAACAATAGCCGCCATCTGGTTTGCGGCTCTATGTATATGTTTGGTCACCTATTTTAATAGCGAAGCCGTCGAGTTTGTCTGGCCGGCCACCAACCAGACATACTATGATTGTCGGGAAACTTGGACCGATCGGGCCGGTAAAGTCTATACCATATCCATGTTTGTCATTACGTTTGCCGCACCCGTACTGGTTATGGTGTTTGTCTACTCCTGTATGGCCCACGCCGTAAGCCATCGCAGACAACTGGGCCGACACTTATCCACACATTTAAGTCGACAAAAAACTCAGGCATTGAATTGAAATTATTTATTTATTTTTTTTTTTTTTGATAATCATTATTATTATTAATTAAAATTTAGAAAACTTTTATTTTAGTATTATTATAATTATAATACTGACGCAAATAATACTAACAATTAACTATTGCTATCAGTTTGCGTATTGCTATACTAACTATTATGTCATATATTTAAATTATTTTTAATTATTTTTAGTTGATTTTAATTTAGCAATTTTGATGTATATATATATATATGTTTTATGTGTATGTATGTATATGTGTGTACAGTATGTGTGTGTGTGTGTGTGTGTGTGTGTGTGTGTGTGTGTGTGTGTGTGTGTGTGTGTGTGTGTGTGTGTGTGTGTGTGTCTATGTATATGTCTGTAAATGTTTTATTTGAATTTATTTATAGAAATAAACTAAAAATAACCAAATAATATCTAATAACTAAATTTATTTATAAATTTTGGATTTTAATTATTTATTTATAGCTATTATTAATTTAGTTATTTTTTTAACAATTAAATTTATTATATATATTTTTAACAATTATGCTTTTATTAGTCACAAAAAAATAACATATAATTTAATTTTTTGTTATTTTATAATTAAATTAAATTTTTTTTAATTACTATTTTAATAATTAGATAATCAAACTGTTGATAACAGTAGTACTGGCTTTCATCATATGCTGGACAGGTATCCAATTGTTCGGTATAGTTGTCTGGCTGTTCCCCCAACTGATGAGATTTAGTACAAAAGCTAAATACTATGGCTATGTTGGCATATATTTTACACTTAACTGGATATCAATGTTTCACTCGACGGTCAACCCTATCATCTATACCTTTGTTAGCGATAACTTTCGGGTAATTATTATTATTATTATTTATTAAAAATAAACTTAATTAACATAATAATAATGACAATACTAACTAAAAAAATATCTATTAAAAATAAATCTATTTATTATTATTTTATTTTTATTAAAATCTGTTATACAATACTATAGTCTGATTTGAAGTCAGTGTTGCAAAAGTTTTTCAAAAACAGACACCTGTTGTCCCGTTTCGGTACAAACAACAGCAGCACCGGTAGCCGTAGGTCACAGACATCGCAAACAAGTAATAAAACTATTATATCGTTCAATACAAATGATAGTAGTGTCGAGGTTGCGCTTATCAATTAATTAATTAATTATTTATTTATTTTATTTTTTTGTATTGTAAATAATTATCATTTTTTTGTTTGTTTGTTTGATTTAGTATTTTATTAGATTTCTATTATTAGTTTATATTTTCTTTAAATGTTTTTTTTTGTTGTATTAATTGTTTAAAACATTTTATTAATGTAAATGAAAATTTCACATTAAAAATTTTTGTTTGTTTGTTTGTTTTTGAAATAAAATTATGATTATTATTAATTCATTACTAATAAACTTTATAATTAAACTTTTTATTAACTATTAATTAGTTTATTATTATTATAATTATGTTTTGGTGAATATTTTATTTTTAAAATAATTTTTTTGGCATATTTTTATATATAATATTATTAAAAAAAACAAATGAAAAATTTCGGGAATAAAATATTTTAGGATAAATTATATTTAATATTTAGATATATTAATATTTCTATTATTTAAAATATAATTTTTTTAAAAATAGATAAATAATATTTGTAAAGTGAAAAAATTATAGCAACAAAAATAAATAAATACATTTTATAACATATATATATATATCAGGGTTAAGCAAGGGGTAGGGGGATCAAACCAAATGACCCCCCTTGATTTTGGATTTTTTGAAAAAATTGTCGTTTAAAAATACAATAAAAGTCTACACCCACCCTAACCCCCCCCTCTAAAATCCAAAACCTTGCTTAACTCTGATATATATATATACTGTATATACAGTATATTGTTTTATAATATTTTTCAGATATAAATATTGGTTGAGTTGTTGGTGTTGTTGGCGTTTGTAGGCCACGAAACGGCCAACGTTTTGGTCTGATTTTGTTTGACGTGTCGCTTAAGAAACGAATTTCGCCGATGATATGAACTCATCCGATGAGTGGCCTTCAGTGCCGTCAATACCTTCTTCAGACGCATTCTGGCCACCGATTTGTTGGTCTTCAGCGACGTATTCTGCGGCAACAGTGTATCGTCGTTGGCCTCGTGTGAGGTGTTATGTTCGGCAAAGTCGGCTCCCCGTAGTTCGTCGTTTAAGGACAACCGTATGGCCAGCAGGAGTCTCATTGATGGCAGTATGACGGCTGTGGCCAATGCTGACCATACGGCTATACAAACTATGGCCAACATTTGTACGTACAGTAGTCGCATAGAACCGCCGTATATGAGACCGGTTTGGTTGTATGTCATTTGTAGGAGTGTATCCTTTTGGACAAATATGGCCAACGCTAGCATACCTGTGCGATAATCAATGATATAATAAGTAAATATATAATTACTATTGTTTTAATACCCCAAATAGATCCAATCAAATGTATGGATATTGTATTGATTGGATCGTCGATTTTCATCAGTCGCAGCACCGGTATGTTACCAATGGACAGCAACGATCCGATAAAGCCGATGATAAGCGACTCCCACGGCTGATATAGTGTACAGCCGGCCGACACCGACACCAGACCCGATAGTAGGCCACAGATGAACAGTTTGATGTCAAACTTGTGTCTCATAAACAGATAGCTAAGTAACAGTGCGGTTGTGCCGCCAATCGATGAGGACATTATCGTAGACACGGCCGACCTTTTTATTAGTAGATAACAATTATAATATAATTGTAATTACATAGTGATGATGGGGTGGGAGGGGGGGTTCTAAATATATATAAATTTACTGTGGTATATTCCCCTGGATAAATTTCCCAAAAAATATTAAAACTAATTTTCTAAAATTTTTTATATAAACTAAATAAAAAAAATTCAAATTTATAACTTCTATCAAACGTAATAATCAGGACTTTTAGTTAATATATTTATTTATTTTGTTAAAATATTTAGTAATGAATTACACTTTTTTTCAAAAAAATGTTATCCCGAAAATTGCTTTCTCTGGGAATATAGAAAATAATATTTTTATTTATTAATAGTTTACCTTGCTGAATATTTCCATTTATTATTTGATACACCAAATGCCGATGACATATGTAGGCCAACCCAACCCCACCTAAAAAAAAGTTTTATATAATGTTTATATACTTTTTTTTATAAAAAATGTATTATAAAAGTAAAAAATAAATTAAACAGTAATTACCATAACATAAAAGTACCCAACAGTGCATTGGTCGGCGAACTCATGGCAAAAGTGCCGGCATTTTGCGAGAAACGGCCTAATCTGGGCTTCAATATCAATGTGGCGATCAAACCGGACATACCTATCGGTAATACAATAAAAAACAACAACAAAAATATATAGTTTTATTTATTTCAATATTATTTATAGTTGTGTTTATTGTGTGCACAATAATATATACCACCGGCCAAATGAACCGTTGAACAACCGGCCACATCTACGGCCAGCCATTGGCGTAGAAAACCGTTTGGCGACCAAATCCAATAGCTGGGTACGGAAAACACAATAGTTATGAGAAACGAAAACAGACAATAGGCCAGAAATGTGATACGTTCGGTCATTGCACCCAAAACTATAGTAGTGGCCACCGATATCAGTGATAAACGATAGGCATAAGTGGCAAACAGTTGGCCCATATCTACTTGGGTAGAGTCGACCAGAAAATCGCCAAAACCGATAAACGGATTCCTGTGACTGACAGTGCCGTCAGCGACCGCAGTATCGGCTGTCAGCGATAGGCCGTAGCCGATTGTCCAGAAAGCTAGTCCCGAAAACAGTGGATCGCAACAGTTTTTCAATATAATCGATACGTGATTCTTGCGCCGCACGCACCCGCTTTCCAGTAGCGAGAATCCCGTTTGCATCGTGAATATGATGAACGATGAGGTGAGTATCCAAGTGGCGTCGTCCCATGATATGTCTTCGGCTAATAGATGTATGCGACTACTCGTGTCACTCGCGGCCATAATATTTGGAGTGAGTGAGTGTGTGGGTGAGTGAGTGAGTGAGTGAGAGAGAGAGAGAAAGAGAGAGAAAGAAAGAGAGAGAGAGAGAGAGAGAGAGAGAGAGAGAGAGAGAGAAAGAGAGAAAGAGAGAAAGAGAGAAAGAGAGAAAGAGAGAGAGAGAGAAAGAGAGAGAGAGAGAAAGAGAGAGAGAGAAAGAGAGAGAGAGAGAGAGAGAGAAAGAGAGAGACTGTATAATAATAATTATTATTATTATTATAGAGAAAACAGTTTCACAATTTTCGGCTGTTTATATAAATTCCTTATTTATATTATTTTTGTTGAATAATATATATTATATATATATAATTTATAATAAAATTTATATAACTTTATATAAATCACAGAAATATTATAAACTATTGATTGATTATTATTTTTTGATTTAACAATTAATATACACACAAATAATTAGTTAATTAATTAATTTTTTTTGAGTGTAAATAATCAATATACACTATATTATACAGTACAATGATGTTTTAATTTTGTTGTATAAATTTTTTAAATATATATGTATAATGTTTTATATTTTGTTATGGAGTTGCCCAGTATAGATTATTAGTTTATTACTATTATTATTAATATAAATTTATTATTAACAACAACGATAAAAAAAATTGCTCAGTTATTTATGGGTCAACTATTATTTATTATTTATTATAGTTAGACTAAAAATCTTATTAAAAAAATTCAATTTTATCTAATGAATATATAAATACTGTATATTGATTATAATAAAACAAAATATAAATTAATGATAATAAAGTCACACACAGTTTATATTTGATATTATAAAGTATGTATTAATAATATACTATAAGGTTTATATAAAAAAATAAATAATCATCGATTTGTGATTACATGAAATGGGTTGTAATAAAAATTGAGAAAATATTATATTATATTTTATTTATAGCCAATTTTATATAGTATATAATAATTGTTATATCGTCTAATTTATTTTAAAATTATACAGGTATACCTATATATAGTGTATATAAAGTCAAATTTATATTATTGAATTGTAAATAATATTTATAAAACAAATAGATTTAATGTTAAATAAAAAGTTATAAATTTATTATTAAATGTATTGTTATCACTATCACATTGTTATCACAATAGTTATCACTAGAAAATTATTTAATTTTTTTTAATCAATAATTGCTTGATAATTATATAACCAACATTTATTATTAAAGTAATTATTTTTAATTTTATTATTAATTTAGTGGACATTAATTTTTTCAGTGGTAATAAAATAAAATTGATTAAATAAAATGTATTTCATATGATATGAACAAAAAAATAATTAATATTATAATTTCCAATAAATATTAACATTACCTATAAATTCAACCAAAAAAAATAATAATAATAAATAAATTAAAACAATTGAATACAAACCTTAAAATAAAAGTTGTTTTCATCACACAATCATCGCAACCGGTGGTCACATAATCAGTGGTCACAACACCATCACCACCACCACCACCAACAACAATGTTGCTGTCGCTGATGATGATGACACCAACAATACCAGAGCCGCCATCATCGCCACTATTGGCTGAGCCGGCGTCGGCACCCGAAGTGGTTACGCACAGTCACTACGACCCGAACACGCCGTCCACGGACGTAACCTCCGATGACGCCACTTGGATACTAACTTCGGCGTTCGTCATATTTACAATGCAAACCGGTTTCGGTTTGCTCGAGTCGGGCGCCTGTGCCAAGAAAAACGAGGTCAACATACTCATGAAAAACGTAGCCGACGTAGTACTTGGCGGCCTATTCTACTGGGCCATCGGCTACGGACTACAATTTGGCGACGACCCTAACCATACCGGTTGGTACGGTTCTGGCTATTGGTTTCTCGATTCGCCCGACGATAAAATGGGACCCGTATTCGCCACATTTATCTTTCAGTTAAGTTTCTGTACGACTGCCACTACCATAGTATCGGGATCTATGGCCGAACGTACCAACTATAACGCCTACATACTTTTCTCGTTGTTGAACACCATTGTCTACTGTATACCGGCCGGTTGGATATGGAGGGACACTGGCTGGCTATACCAGTTGGGCGCACTCGACTTTGCCGGTTGCGCCTGTGTTCACCTAATTGGCGGCGTATCGGCACTGGTAGCCGCATCGATGCTGAAGCCGCGAGTTAAGCGCTACGAAAACGGTACCGACCCGTTGCCGATGGGCAATCCGGTCAACGCCGTGATCGGTACGTTTGCCCTCTGGTGGGGTTGGCTCGGGTTTAACTGTGGCTCTACGTTTGGTGTGTCGCACAGCAAATGGCAGTTTGCCGAACGGGCAGCGGTCACCACATTGAACGGCTCGTTCGCCGGCGGACTCATTGCACTGGTCTATTGTTTTGCCAGTCACGGACGGGCCGAAGTCAGTCCCATTCTCAACGGTATACTCGCTGGTCAGTCACATAGTTAACAGTAATTATTTGTCTAAACAATTAAACAACAAATATTGGACATTCAATATATGCAGGACTGGTAGCAGTAACATCCGGTGCCGGTTTTTTCTTGCCGTTTGACTCGTTCATCATCGGCGCAATGGGATGTATAGCTAACACATTGATCGCCCCGCTATTGGATAGATTGCGTATCGATGATCCGGTCGGCGCTGTGGCCGTTCACGCCGGCGGAGGAATAGTATATCTAATAATAATGAGAAATTAGAAATGATTTTTTTACTGACATCCCTGTGCTCTCTCTCTCTCTCTCTCTAAAAAAAAGGTTGGAACCATATGTGTCGGACTGTTTACTATAGACGAACCCGATTTGATACCAAACGGCGGCCTAACTCGCGGCCAGTCGGGTCTGTTCAAAGGCGGCGGTTTTCATCTGCTCGGCGTCCAGTTGTTGGCAATGATTTGCGTGAGTATGTGGAGCGGTATCACCACTTGGATGCTGTTGGCGGCCATCGACAAAGTCATACCCATACGGATGTGCATCGAAGAGGAAATACTCGGCGCCGACATCTGGATTCATGACATCCGTAGCGATTACTATGACTTCGATGCGGTTATCGGCGAAATGAGACGCGAAGGTATGGATTTGGCGCCACATATTCGGTCGGCAAAGTCGAAGACATCGGTCGATCATAACTTGTCTATTGTCGACAAGTTTTTGGTCGCCCGACTTAATAGACCCGATAATAATAATAATAATAATAATTGGATGCGACAACACCTGTCGAAACAGCACCGATTAGTTGGCCACCAAAGAAAAGTTGGCCACACTTTGCCGCCGCCGCAACAACAACAACAGTCGCAGACATCATCATCATCGGTGAACAATGAGTTGATGGCCACTAATAATAATAGCCGTACGATGACTGCCACTAATGCATGGATTTCGGCGAAACCCGAATTCAGACCAATTAAACGATATTAATATAATAGCGATACTAATGAATAACTTACCAAAAAAAAAAAATAAATAATTTACATTTAATTAAAAATATTAATAATTAATTATTATAAATATATTTATGTATTAATTATAATAAATTTAATTTAAGTGTGTATTTTATTTTATTTTTAATTTTTATAGTTTTTAATTAATTTATTAAAAATTCAATTAAAAAGTTAACTTTAGGAAAATTTACACCCTAGATAGTTTTTGTTTAACATTATAAATTATAAGTTACATACTAAATGTTAAATATAATATTACTATTATAATTTATAATAGTAATATACAGTAGTAATATTAATAAATTATAGATATTATAAAGTAATATATTGATTAATCAAAAAATTAAAAAAAATTAAAAAAAATTAAAAAAAATTAAAAAAAATTAAAAAAAATTAAAAAAAATTAAAAAAAATTAAAAATACTAACTACACTACAGTATCACCTTGAGTAATTTTATATATTAAATAAGTTATGGAGTTTAATAGGTGACTGTTTTTTTTTATTTTAAACAAATACTGTTTATTATAATTTTTAAATAAAAACTTTTACTAAAAAAATTAACTTTAAATAGGTATAAATTGATGAATATATATAGATATATATATATATTTAAAAATTACAATTTATTTTTAACATTACCCAAAAAATAATAAAATTCTAAAATTTTATTCATAAATAACGTCAACACATTTACAGTTCAATTTATAAAATAAAATAATTGGAATATTCTAATAAAAATAACTAAAATAAATTTTAGATAAAAATTTTAGTTTTAACTTTTTTTTTGTTGTTGTTAGTAGCTTATAATTTTCATAAATAACTAACATATACAATAGGATAATAATAATAATAATAAAAGTTTAATCATAGAGTTAAATGATTAAAATAAAACAAAAATTATTTTTAAAAAATAATGTAAAAAATATAAATACAGGTATTTTTTTAAACAAAAAAATAGTGTAACGTTTACTATGTTTGGATAGGATATTACAGTACAGTAGTGTAGTGTATATTAAATGGTTGTATTCAACAATAAAAAATAGTATATGATTAACTATATAAAAAATGGGCCCAAATTGTACTTAACATTATGCTAGTAAAGTAGAACATTTTTATCTACATATTGAACAATATATTTGAATTTTTATATACCTAATAAGCTAGAGTATAGGGTACACACTGTACGGTTTGGTTTGATTTTTAATAATAACCGGTTAACTAAACAAATGCAAATTAACCCATTTTTTATAGTTTCAATTAGTTTTTAGTTTTTTTTCGTTTAGTTTAGTTTTTTATAGTTTTAGTATTAAAAGTCTAATAAAAAAAACACACACATTGATTTTATTTGATTGGTTTGGTTCCCGGGTTTCTATAGTTTTTATATATACAGTATATATTAACCATAACGTTAACCAAAACGTGATTCACAACAATAATAACGGTTTGGGTATTCCTGTACAATGCAATTACACACCTCTAATAAATATACAGTATATGCCATACTTTTATACAGTACTACTACTACTACTACTACTGTATATAATATATTACAGTTTATATGACTCTAAACACACTGTTGTTTTGTGTGGTATATACTTATCGCTCAGTTATTAATATTATTACTATTACTATACAACTATAATAGCACTGTTGTGTTGTGTTCAGGGTTTTAAAAATGGCAGGCATAAACAATAGATGCCAATTTTGCCAAATGCATGCCCTGTCTCTGCCATGCCCTGGGCATCTATTTTCAGGTGGTGACACCTATTATTTTAATTTTATATTATTAATTAATTTATAAAACATTGTTTTTATAATATATTTGCTTGTATTTTTGTTTTGTATACCTTTAATTAAAAGGTAATATCATTGGAAATAAGTAAATTAATTGTAAATTTAATTAACACGTTAAAACACTAAATTGCATTATTTTTATAAATACAGTTGCTTTTTAGCAATTTAAATTGGCAGGCAAATAAAATAGATGCCCAAAATGCCAGGCATTTATGGCATCTATTTGGGCATTGCCAGGGCAGGCATTTATTTCCTTAAAACCCTGGTTGTGTTTAGTGAGAGAGAGAGAGAGAGAGAGAGAGAGAGAGAGTCGACACTAACACAAACACACAGACAGTCAGACACAGTGTGTGTTCACACAACACAAATGGTTGGCTTTTTATTATTTGTATTATTATTATTATTATTTAATTAAATAATTTTAATTAATAATCAACTAATTAAATAGTTTTATATACATATATATAATTAATTAATTAATTAATTAATTGATAATAATTAATTAAAAAATATGTTACCGCAGGCGCCCATAGACCCGAACCAATTGTTGGCCGCCTTTGCTCCGCTATTGACGCCAACGGGTGGCATAAAAAATGCATCGGAAGTTCCCCGACTATCGAGGTATATATATATATAGTGAGAGATCCCGAGTGGGTGGCCACTGGCCAGTGATGGACACACACACACACACACACCGATTATCCATTGATATATACACACACACTATATATATCCTATAATTTAATAATACATTTACTTATTTAGTTATTATTATGTTTTATATCAACAAATGTTATGATAATTATATTTATTAACAATTATTTAATTACTTTTTTTGTTTTGTTTTGTTTTGTCGTTTAGTTTAATGAAAAAGTTTTCCCGCAAACTGGTCTCGCGATGCGTCTATTGTAATGTATTGATGGCCACCGATGAAGATATACTTGAAGAGTATGTCTAAGTAGTTGTTGTTTGGGATCAAATTGATACCCATTAAGAAAATAGTGTTAAAATTATCGGTAAATTTTTATGTATTTTTTAAATAATTTGTTTTTTTTGATTTCCCGAAATAGATTTCTAAAGTCCGGCGGATGGGAGACAATACACCTGTGGATCAAATCGGCCAAAGACGGCGGCAATAAACCATTTCTCAATGAACTAATGAATCTGTTGGCAAAGTTGCCGATGACTGTCGACCGACTCAAAGAAAACGATTCGCCAAAATTGATCAACAAGTTGGCCAAACTGTCGACAACCAATTGTCCGATACTCGCTGGCAAAGCCCAACATTTGGTGGACAAATGGAAAGTGATTATCACTGGCGAGCCGTCGTCGTCGTCAGCAAAAGATAATCACAAAAGTAAGGAAAAGAAGCGAAAGAGTGGCGAATCAAATAGCGATTCAACAAAAAAGTCTAAGAAAACATCAATAGACGATTCAAGTCTCGGTGAGACCAGCGGCGGTAGTAATGATGGCCTCAGCAGTAGTAGTGGTGGCGGCGGCGGTATTGCTGTCATCAAAGATGACTCTAATAACAAATTTGAACGAACACCGCGGCCGACGACCGCTAAAGTAAAGCCAGGAAAGTCGCGATTGGGTGGACTCGTTAATACTATTACTACACCCTCTTCATCATCATCGCCGACCACCACCACGACTAGCGCTCAAATCAATGCCAAAGCCGGTAAACATCGTAAAGAATCTGCAAATATAGACAACAAGAAGTTGTCGTCGTCGCCACTGATGACTATCAGTTCCAGTAGTAGTAAATCTCAAAACTTTAACAACAATAATAACAGCAGCAATAGTAGCGAATCTTTAGATATTATTAGCGGTATTATCAGTAGTAGTACTACAATGATGCCAATCATCAAAAGTCAAACTATCGACTCGGCTTTATCTACCGCCACCACCACTACCACAACTACTGGCACTGCTGCTGCTACGGCAGCCGTACCTACACCAGCACCGGCTCCTCCCATACCATCCAAACCTCATATACTTCACGTATACTTTTTATTTATTTATTTTTTTAATTTAAGTTATACCAAGATTTTCAATTAAAATTTATTTCTTTGTTGTTGTTGTTGTTGATAGGATTCAACCAGTTTTATGGACGCACTGACAGCTCCGCCGACTATCGCACAGACAAAGAAGAAACGGCGAACCAGTTCGTCGGTTGCAAACAATAATATTAGCACTAAAGATACAATGAATAATGACTTGTTGTTGTCGTCGACGACGACAATAAATAATTCATTAACCAATAATAGCTCTTCTTCTAGTCCACCCAAAGTTTCTTCTTCTTCTTCTGTTTCTTCACCACCGAAACCGTTTTCCTTTTATAAAGACATTATTGACGAAAAAGTTGCCGACAATTATAGTAATAGCGGTGATATCGATACTATGAATGACTATCAAACTGTCGAAACTAATAGTAGTAGTAGTAGTGATCAGCAAACCATTGATAGGTTGTCCTCCACTTCTGCCAGTGACGGTATGGATGTGGACATCAATATAGATATCAAACTTAGCGCTGATCTACCATTGAGTAGCCCATTGTCTGTGATTCCCTCAAACAATACTAGTTATAATAACAATAAATATAAATCAATTTTATGTTATGTTAAGCGTGGCGTCAAAAAGTCTGTTAGGTTTGTATTAATATATAATCCGATAATAATTTCATTAATAATGAGAGACCGGTTATTATTATTATTACTGTACTCTCAATTCATATTATATAATAATATGTATTTCGCTAAAAAATTATTGAAATGAGTTTTTGAAATTTGTTAACCAATTTTTATATATCAATTACCGGTATATTTATGATGAATCAATTATGACTGGGATTTCTATTAATTTCCAATTATTTATTGATTTATTTAAAAAAAAACTTTATTTTTTTTTTTACTGAATCATCAAAATGTAATATAACAACAACGTCAATGTGTGTGTATATAACATAAAATAAAAATTTTCATTATGTGTGTGTGTGTATGTGTGTGACTGTATGTATATCTGTCAACACATAACTTAACAGTAATTTTACAATAAAAAGATTGAAAAAAACTAAATAAAAAATTAAAAACTATTATATTAAATACTAATATAATAATAAAAGTTAGACAATTAAAGTTTTTTTTAAAAAAAAACTGATGAATAGATAGAAATAAATATATATATTTATATATATATATAATTAAATTTATATGATAGTATAGATAGGATAATTAAATAAGTTATATATATAGGTTGTATATATATATTTATATAGATAGTTAGATATATATATATCAGTATAATTTTTTTTTTAAACAGCATATAAACTATATATCTATATTATTACTATATATAACAATTATATAACTCATTATATAATAATAATTGTTAGCACACGTATATACCCTATCACTCATTTCACTAAACGTTATACATATATATATATATATAATTTATGAAAATTTTTTAATGATTTTTTTTAATTTATTTGTTTTGTCTTTTTTTTGTTGTTACCATTAGATGGGTTGACGAGACAAGCAAAAAGAATCTGGAAGTTGTCCGCTATTTTGAATTGGACGAAACGGAACGATGCAACGTTACCCGACCGGCTACCGGTGCCGGCAGTTTCAACGATGCCAAACGATTCGATATGAAACACGAAGCCGAACTTATGTTGCTGGCCAGACGCGGCGGCCCTGGCAGTGGTGGTGGCGGCAGCAATAACTATGATCTGGCCGACGATCACTCGTCCCGCGTCCAGACAATCGGTTTGTGGCGACTGATTCCGTGCGACGGCGACACCTATGCCATCGAATACGGCAAAGATTCGAAGGAGCGGCTAATCCAAGAGCAGAAACAAAGGACATCGTTGCCGATAATCTATATGAAAGGCCAGACACCCGATTCGGCTCAGGAACCGGATCATGAAATTTTTATCGAATCGGAACCGGCAAAAGTGATACCACTGGAGGACGACAACAATCCGAACAATTGTTACGATTTTTCCAACAATGATTTGCCTCAACCGAAAACCGGCGAACAATTGCCGGCCCGAGTGACTGTTCCCGAATTTGTGCCGGTGAACAACATCAATATGACACCACAATTTCCCGGACCAGCAGTAGGTGTAGGTGGAGGAGGAGGACCTCCCGGCGGTATTCCGCCGTTTGGTGGCCAACAAATGATGCCGCCGTTTGGCGGTCAGCCAATGATGCCGCCACCTGCCGACCAGTTTGGCCGAAATATGTCGTCAGGTCCACCACCGCCTGGTCAGCCATATTTCAACAACGGTCCGCCGCCGCCGCCATTCCAACAGTGGCCTCCCGATGGCGGGCCGCCGCCGATGTCCCAATCGGGTCCGCCGCCGCCAAACTTTGGCCCACCATTTCCCGGTCCTCGCGGAATGGGTGGCCCGCGAACGCCACGACTGCCCCGTAACGCCCAGAACACTGTTTGCAAACACTTTGCCCGGACCGGGAAGTGTCGGTTTCAGCCGAGATGTAGTTTTTTGCATATAAACAATAATGACAGATGAGGTTTAAAATGACTTATAATTACCGATAGATTGATATATATATATATATACACATTATGTATATATATATATATATATACAGTACATATAAATATATATTTAGTATATTTGACACCAAAAATTGATATTTTTTTTAACAAAAAATGTAAAAAACAATATTTTTGTTTGTTTTTACACACACTGTATATTGCAATGAATAGATAACTGATTATTGAATAATTTATCATTTTTTTTTGTTTGTTTGTTTGTTTGACTATATATTTACTGATAATAGGATTTTTTTTGTGTGGAGTTATATGATTTGATATAATATTTTTATTTTTTAAATTTATTTGTTTGATTTGATTTTGTTTGTTTTTTTGTTTGTTTGGTTGTTTAATTATATTTACAATAATATGATTATAATCAAATAATTATTTTACTTCATATATATATATATAGTATATTATAATAACACTAATTGATTATAATTATATTTATGACTAAAAAAATAATTTCAAGTTTAAGTACTACCCATCGCGTCATTTAAAAAAAAAAACGAAACACATTTGTATTTTTTTTAATTATCAATTGATTTTTTTTTGCTAATTATATTAATATTATTAATTAATAATAATAATAATTCATTTTCACTCTATTTATGTACAAAAAAAACAAAACAAAAAATATTTGAATAATTGAAACTCTCATTAAATATCGTTATCGTTACTTAAAACAAAATGTGATTTGATTTGAATTGATTTTTTTCGGGAAATTTTTTTTATTTATCTCATATGTATTGATATTTTTAAAATTGATTTTTTTTAAAAAAAATAGTTGCCAATTATTTTTGTTGGTTGAGTTAAATATAAACATTTTTTAACGATAATTGTGATGAATTTATTACATAAATGTTCGTTAATTGTAAAATTAAAACATATTTTTTTTTCGGTGTACACACCATATGTTTTTGGTGTATTCAAAAAATCTTTAAATATATATATATATATATATATCAATATACAGTGATATATATAATGTATGATACTTTTAAAGGTATTCTACTGTATTTGTAAACTATGTACAATATTTAATATATATATAAACTAAACTATTATAGTAGATGACCGGTATTAAAAAATTTTTCAATTATTTAATTATTTATATTAAAAAAAATTCATACTATATTTTATAAAATAATATATATATATATATTATCATAATTTACTAGTTATATTATATTTTTTATTTTATTATTATTTCAATATATATATATATATATATATATAGTATATATATAGTATATGTATTCACACACAAAAAATTTAAAGTTTAAAACTCAACAAAGTTTGAGTAAAAATATATTCATTTATGCATTTAATTGCAATAAAAACATTAACAATAAAAACATTAACCTAAGGGTATATATATGTATATAATATTTGATTAACTTATATTTCATATATTTATTTTGTTTGTTAAATAATTGCAATTGTAATATAAAATAATAATAATTATATGAATTATTGTAAAATTGTTAAAACATAATAATAAAAATAAATTTCAATAATTATAATAAGAAATATTTATTAGTAGTTAGTATTGATCTAATAGTATAAAATTATTACAATATATCAATTAATAGCTAATATTGTATATAAAAAAAATTAAAAATAATCAATTTTTCTTGTTTCTATAAAAAAATATTAATTTTATTTTTCAAAAAAAAATTCAATTATTAAATACATTTTTTACGTACAATTAACAAATGTTTGACAACAAATATCATAGTTTAAGTATTATTAATATTATAGTAATATTAGTATATTATTATTAATATAAGTGTTTATGAATAAAATATTATATTGTAATGTTTATTGTGTTTTTTATTTCTATTATTGTGTGTTTTATTATGTAAATAAAAAAATATATTTATGAATAATTAAATTTCTATTAATATCGTATAAAAATGTATTTTCAAATAATAATAATAATAATAATAATAATAATAATCAATATATAATATATAAATATAATTATAGATGTATGAAATTTTCCTTATAATATATATAAATATAATTTATTATTATTTTTATATTTCCCAACAATAAAAAACACTTTATATTTTGTTTATGTATTTGTATTTGTATATTAAAATAATTTGTTTTTATATTAAGTATTTAAATTAAATAATAATTTTATATAATAATAATAATAATGTAAATATATATATATATAAAACTTATTTACAACAACACAAAAATTATTGTTAATTTTTCTCATTATTATTATTGCTGTAATAATATTGAATATTTTTTATTAAACTAAAAAAACATTAAAATATTCAATAATTTTAATGATATTTTATAATTTTATTGATTCAATTGTCGATAATAATAATAATATTAGTTAATTAATTAATTAATTATATTAAACATATAATTATTACTATAAATGAGATACTTTGATGATTGCAAAAAAAATTACTTCAAAATAATTATAAAAAACATAATTATATGATATATATATATATTAAAAAAAAATAATTCAATATAAAAAAAATTAATAATTCATTTATATTTTAATAATTTTTGGCCGATTTTTCGATTGCTTTCTACTGGACTTATTCGACCTGTGATGGTGTCGGACGGCCGTCGGATAAAATGGCATTATATAGTGTACGGGAATGGATGGCTGGCCCTGTAGTTGATGATGATGTGGTGGTGGATGATGTATTGGATGCGCTGGATGGTGGTGGTGGTGGTGGTGTGCAAATGGCACCGATAGCTGCGATGGCGGCTGGGCTATGAAAAACGTTTGTTGGGCCGATGTTGGCGCCGCCGGCATCGGTGGCATAGGTAGTCTTGAAGGCATTGCAGCGGTAAACAGCTGCGAATGCTTAAGTGATGGCCCGACAGGTAAGTGTGCGATAACTGCCGAAGCAGTTTTCGACAGTTTGGCCATTGATTTCGGTGGACGACCAGTGCCGCTACCGCTGCCGGTGGACATGGATATCGGCAGCATAGGTATGTGATGCGAAAAGGCTGTCTCCAGTGCGCTGGTGTCAAAGTGTTTAACAGCCGTTGATGGCCAGCCATTGTCGCCGCCGCCGGCGATTAGCTCCTCGATCAGGGCGGCCGTTGCCAACTGTTGTTTGGTCGGTTTGACTGATAGAGGACCGGCCGGATATTTATACATATGATGTTTGGCCGACGATTTCTTATTATCGTTTGTTGACAGCTTATGTAGTTTGGGAATGGCGTGCGTTTCGGGCAGCCTTAGCGGAAACTCTTCTTCGGCCAGTACTTCGGGCACATAACTGGTCATTTGATGTTTCGGTTTTAATAGTTTCGGGTGTTTTTTTACTTGAAGCTCATCATCGTTGTTGTTGTTGTTGTTTGGTTTGGGAACAGTGGTCATGACCTGCTGGGACGGGTATTTCAATGTATCGTAATTGTTGACAATAATCGGATTGCGGTATTTTTTCTGCGATGATTGTTGACCTCCGCCACCACCGCTACCGAACTCTAGGTTCTCTTTGTTGTTGTTGTTGTTGTTGTTACTGTTGTGCAGCTGATGATGACTGTCCTTCGAGTAATGGGATTTCATAAAAGATTTTTCCTGATTAAGACCTTTACGCGGGAACTCCGCCGGTGGTGGCGAAGAGTTGTCGCCAAATTTGAACGGTTTTACTGGACTGTCGTAATAGTAACTTGATTTATGATCCTCTTGTTGTGGCCGGCGATTGGTGGCGGCTATCGGCGGTTCATTGTCTAGACTACCACCACTGATACCACCGCCGGGAGTGTCGTAATAGTCTCTGATAGTAAAATCGTGTCCTTTCTTTGACTTTTGATTTTGTTGTTGTTGTTGCTGTTGTTGTCCTCTATAATGACCCGAATCGGGTTTACGGTGTTTGTGACCACCTCTACCGCTGCTGCTGATTATCGGTTCGTAATTTTTCGACATTGTTTGCGTGGATTCCGGTATCAGCGGCTGTGTCTGTACGGACAGTGTCTGATACTGAGGCGTTTCGTCCATCTCTTGAGCCCATTTGGGTTTACCTGGATTCGACATCTGTGACCTATAGCCGCCGCCCGATGCCGATGATGGCTGGGATTGTGATGATAGTTCCGGTGCCCGATAGCTGTTGTTGTCATCGTAGTAAATCTGCTGTTGTTGTTGTTGTTGTGGTCTCTCATCGGACCATAACTGGTTGGTCAATACCTCTATTCCGTTACCACCACCGCCGCCGCCGCTGCTGCCGATTTCCTGTTCAATTGTATGATGAATTGGCGCATAGGTGTACACCGGTTCCGGATCTGGCTGTCTATGCATTTTAGGCGGCCTATCGAACGACTGGACATTACTACTGCCGGTCCAAATTGACGACTTAAATACCGGTGCTCTGGTGGTGCTAGTGGTGGTCGACTTGTGCCCGGAAATTGCCGACAATTCCGGTATCAACTGTACGCTATTGTATGTATGTTGTTGGTGATGGTGGTTAACAGGAGCCCAGTTCGGGTGCCCTGAATTGTGGCCACCAGTGTGCTGCTGCTGGTGGTGGTGTTGTTCCTCAATGTGCTGTATGTTTGTGTGTTCAGCTATTATTGGATTGTCAAACTTTCCGCCGCCGCCGACGGCGTCGGTGGCCGGTTGGACATAGTTTGACGGTTCATATATACCGCTCGGTGTATGCTTTTCTTGTGTTTGCCATATATCTACTGGCAGTTCGTAGCCTTTCGGCGATTGACTTTCAATGATTGTCGTCTTTTGTGTATACTCTTCGACCACTTGGGGCGGCGGCGGCCGATAGTGTTGCCGATTGATGACAGCCGCCGTAGTGTCCGAAACAGCAGGTGTTACCACCGATACGGTCGATTCGGTTCTGACCGGCAACGGTGCGTAATCAATAACCGTTGGCCGTTTGTTAGGCCATTTCAGATCGGGTCGGTTTGTCGGTGCAGCCGACGGCGCTCTAGTGGGCGGTTCGTACGGTCTGTGCGCCATTCGTGCGGTCGTATAGTATTTGGTCGCCGGTTTTTCAGTGGCCACTGTCGGCGCCAGAAACGCTTTTTCCGGTGCCGCCGACGACGGAAATTGCGGCTCAGGCGCCGCAACCGTTG